GGTTCACCCATAAGGTGTCTCATTGAGCTTCTGTTAATGGAGCTCTCGGCTTAGGCACTTTGGGATCTTATTTTGTTTGCCTTGCCAATTGATATGAGGCGGCGGCAAGCAGTGGAAAATAAAAGCGTTTTGTCAACTGATAATGGGTGACAACAGGGCCAGTCCACAGACAGCGAAGCGCTTGCGTCTACACTGGCAAAGAAAGGGAGTACAAACAGTGCTTGTTTCAAACATCATGGTTAGTTAGGTGAATATATACGGCCTTTTCTAACAATAAACGGCATTGAAGGCTCAATAATGGAATTATTTTGTTTTATTTATTAATTCAAGTTCAAATTGTTGAAGTATAATGTTAATCCGATTAAGATATCAGGCACTCGGGCTTAAAAAAACATGATTTATAATATGTATTTACCTAAAAAAAGACTTCAAAACTATGAGAAGAAAAATAAAGATAAATTTAACCTTAGCCGCTGTGGCTTACATTTTAATTTTTTGAAATATTTCCTTTATGTGTTTGTAGAATTATCAGCTAAATGAAACTAAATTATACGATATAATGTTAGTTCTTCAACAAAATATTAGAACAAAAATGTCTACCAATCAAGAAGTATGTAGGATGCGTAGTAATATAGTCAGGTATGTTGCAAAAATGTTATTCTGAACATTTTTTTTGTACTAAATAAACGCATAGTGGTTTTTCCCAGTGCACCTGCTATCGGAACGGGTCCCGAGGCAACAACAAAAACTGGATACGCCGACGATTCACTACTCATATGACTTGGCAGACCACGCGACTTCGCACATGAAGCACACCACCGCCCCTTCGCCACCCAGCCCCGCCCCGCCCCCTTTCCACTCGAAACGCTGCCATTTAAATGTGCTGATTTCTGTTTGCACATAACTAAAGTGTGTGTTTGCCGACTTCTCCGCAGTCATACGCGTACATATTTAATTGCACTGATGATGATAATAACAATAATGGCAAGGGAATCGGAACACGGGGTTCGGGGGGTTCGCGGTGTGATGGGTATAACACCCCCACTTGACATGTGGCCCACAGCCAGAAAAACTAGAGCCAGACACGCTGGCACCTGGTCTATTACTATACTACTATACTACTCTATTGCCTTACGGCCCGTCGCATCGTAACGCTACGGCCCATGTAATAATAAGTTCACACCTGTGCTGCGAGCCAACACATTGATTGATGTCTGGCCGGCTGGCCGGCTGTTTGGCCATTCAATTGGCGGGCAGTTATCAAAAACTATTAATGAATTCCCATTCCCTACCAATTTACGACTCATTTGCCTAAGGCTCTAAGTGAAATCATCCATAATGCTGCCATTCAGAGCGGTGATTTTGATTTTTTTGTGCAAGATTGATATGTGTGGCTTTGTTTGATCGCCAATCGAACGCGTATTTTATTGTGTTTCACACGTGCCTGAAGCCCCCATGTCCACGGATCATAATGAGACTTTGTTGGTCCAAAGTTTTCCACAAAAGGTGCTAATTCCCTTGATTTGTGTAGCTGGCTGGGCTGGCTGGCGGGGGATTTTTGAATTCATGTGAAAGTCCAACGATCGAGAGCTTGCGAATCGCACTTTGTAGATGGCAAGGCGATTGCGAGTACTAGATCGTCGATGGGTGTATGAAATCACAGTTTGTATATAGCGCATAGCTTTTAGCCTGAAATCCCCGAACTTATCGGGAATTAATACCAGCTCGCTAATAACGGCTATATGTATATTTTGGGACGCCATATGCGTTGGATATCGGGCGAATGACTTGCGAATTGGGTTAAGGAATGCATGCCTCCAAAGGCACATGATGCCAGGCGTCTGGTTTTGGATTTTTTTTGCTTTTATATCATGCATATATCGAGGCAAAATTTAGCAAAAAAAAAAAAGCAAACTGTCATGTGACCAACTGGCTAGCAAATGTCTAAACTTGGTCACGACGGGGTCCAAAGAAAATGATTCACCCTCCCCTCGCTTCTATTGGTTGATTCACTTCGGGTTTCCAGACCTTGATTTCCAGCATTTCACCATTTCTATATTAACGTTTGTTTTTCGTCAGCTCTTTTTTATTCTTAGCTCTCGGCCTATCAGAGACCGAAAGTATTTTTAAATCATTTCTTTTGGGCCCGTTGGAAATATGAACGACAAGTGTAGGTTCAGATTCTGTCGTGGAAATTTACCCAAGCGTGCTGCTGCTGCCGTAATTTATTGCCGTCACCCAACTAAATTAAGCAAATAAACAAATAAATGTATTTGGCGCGAGTGGAGTTTTTAACTGCTATTAGTGTAAACGTTTGTTTAGTTTACAGCGAATCCGAAAAAAACTGACCTAGCACAAAGATAGCGTCGCAAAGGGGGGTGTTTCGGTGGCCTTTTTGAGGGGGGAAGTTAGTCGGGCCGGCTGTCTACACTTTACAAGTTTTTTTTTTGTTGTATTTTTATTATTATTAGTATTATTCCCCAAGTGTGAGAGCGTCTGTTTGTGGGCAAAGTGCAAAAACCCCAAAAGCTGGCGTTGCTTAATTAGCAGGGTGAAAAGTTTCTATCACGTGATGGCAATGGCGAATGTTGGCGACAAGCGCGGCCATAAATGTATATACAGCCCCGAATATTGGTCAATACACACTCGAATCTGACAATTTCACCATTGCGCTATATATATTTTAAATGCCAGCTCGGCATCTGACCGATAAGGCGGCCTGGCCGATTGACAGCGCGGACGAGGCGCTAATCGAGTTAGCCAGGCGATGGGGGCCCTCAGATTATAGACCCCAAAAATAAATGGGGAAAAACGATTGAAATGTTTTATGGACCCAGTAAACAAATATCACCAAAGCTTGTCATCAATTAGGTTTTTTGCATATCAAAAGCGTTTCTTATCTATAGATTATCACCGTGAGTGGTTAAAATGTCGGTTTTAATTGTTATCACTGGAACTTTTATAATAGAAAAATAAACAAAAAAAAAGTATATGACATTTTAAACGATTATTGTATTTCTACGAAAACTCTAAAAATGTTTAACATGTTATTTGTTAAGTTCAATGGAAATATAAAAAATAAAGTACAATGCATTTTCTTACAAAAATGTTTGAAATCATGAAAAAGTAAATACACAACAGAGAATTTCCAACAACCTTAAAAATTACATAAATTTGTTTTGCCAACTTTATGCACATCGAAACCTTCACAAAAACTAAACAAACAAATAACTTTTCGGAGAACTGTAATCTTATCCGCCTTGATTTCACAAAAACTGTTAAAGGTTCCACAAAACATGGGATTCCTAGAAAAGCGAACGTGGGTGTGTCCCCCAGTTAACCGTTAACAGAGCATCCCGCTGCTTCTGGCCCCGCAATCACAGTCACTGTCACAGTCACACTTGCAGTCACAACAACAGGAACCGAAACAACAATCAGAACCCACGCACAAGTCGCGTAAAGTGTCAAAAATCAACATTGTAAATCGTATGCAGCAGCATAAGTAAATAGTGTAATAAATAATTATGAAATGAATTAAGCGAGAAGCAACAAAAACAATGCGCTGCGCCAACAACAAAATGTGTATGACATAATAATCACGAGAGCAGGCCGCGACCGCCGATTAGCAAGTCATGTGATTCGCTTTTATTTACATTTGCGCCTGACGTTGCCGCCGCCTCCCCCCACCAGGCCCCCGCCACGACCCACGATCGTACGCCTACGTCTATGGGAGTGCGAGCGAGAGGGGTAGCTCGAAGCAGACACGAAGCGATAACGAAGTGAGCCGAGAACGAAAACGAAACGATCGATTTTTGGGGGGAGAGAGAGATGCACGAAGAGCGTGGGGAGAGGCCGAGCATAGTGGGGCACAGTTATTTGCGCGCGCAGCTCAATCGATGGGTGCGGAGCCATGCGAGCGAAAGAAACGGCAACAGCCAAACAACAACGCATCTCCTCGCACACATGCAACCACCGTGACTACCCAATATGCACTGCTGGGGGTGTTGGGTGATTTAGGGCTTGTTGTTGTTCTTGGAGCTAAGCAGGCTATCGTTATCGATACACAGTGGAGCAGAGCTATGAGTGGCTAAGCAAAGACAAGGCCAAATAATTGGTCCGCGATAATTCAATTAAAAAGTAATCCCAAAAAAAACAGTACGAAAATTGAAAAAAAATTAACAAAATTGCAGATTTTAATTTAAGTGTTTTGCCAAAAATAGATGGAAATTATTATACCTTAACAGGATAGAACAAGTTTAAACCTACAAGCAAAAAACACCTTGCCAAATAGCTTTAATAAAAACTTTAAAACTTTAATTGTATTAAAATAGTCTAATAGTCAAACAGCTCTAAAGATGTACAAATATGAAACACACAACCATTTTTCGAACTTCTACAGAGCACCTGGTAATGAAATTCCTAGCAAATTCCTGGCGGACTTAAATGTATTTAATGCAAATCCGCAAATTTCAGGTAACCAGGATCCCCCTAAGCAGAACCCACTGTAGTTCTAAAAACGCAAGAAAAAGGGACCTTCTTTGTAACGTTTTCGAGACAGCTGCAATGGCATCTGCATCTTTGTAATCCCTCAAGATTTAGCATTCAATGGTTTTTGGCCATTGATAGATGTATTTTAAGATCATATCGAAAAAGGCAGGCGGCGTACGTGACGCTGAGTAGTGCATGTCGAATTTGTGCGCTGGGTTATCGTCCTCGTTTACGCTTTGCCAATTTGCGTACGAACAAAGGCAAGAGGAAGAGGAAGAGGAAGCGCAGGTAGTGCAAAAGAGAGTACGGGGAGGGGAGGGGGCGGGGCATAGGTGAGTGTGAAACGCATCATGAGAACGCCTTTTCGCATGTACATACATACATATGTATGTGCGAGTTTTTGCAGCTGCACCTCTATTTTTCCTTTTGTTGTGCGCGCATTTTATCGATACACTACTAATACCGGGTGTTAGTTTTTTGCTGTTGTTGTTGCCAAGCAGATAAACACTTACCTTAGATAATTTCGCGAAGTTTGTTTTGTAGCTTTTGCGGACGACGAACTATTGCCGGCAGAGGCAGCGACGCCGGCAGAGGCGTGAGTTGTACGCGCCGGCAATGTTGTTGTCGTTACTGTTGTTGTTGTTGCTGCCGCTGTTCCTGTAGTTGTTGTTGGTAGTGCTGTTTGGCTATTAATTAGCGCTGCTGCTGCGGTCAGCGTGGGCGCTGCCGCTAAATTCGCGGGTGTTGTTGGTGTTGGCGACGGAAAGAAGAGCTTATTCAGTAGGGCCATAATAACACACAGTGTGCGCAATCATTTAATAAACACATCTGGCCAATCGAAATCGAAAATCGAAGATTGAATATTGAAAATAGTTGTTTTAAATGGAAACACACACAGAAGCGCGAACTTTTCGCTTTCCTTGGAATGTGTCGCTGATTTTGTTGTTGTTAGTGGGGCGGGGAGAGAGGCGCGAGAGGCGATTACCGTTACACGCGCGCCTGCCAGAGCGAGATGACGGATGCTGCACAATCAAAACTTTCGCTTTGCACTTTTCCTTCTTGCACTGCTTCTGATCTATCTGATCTCTTCCTGTACACACACCACAAACACACACTCGCACACTTGAAGTGGCTTTTATTTGATTGAGCAAAAAATATAATGGGCTATTTTTGTGTTGTTTTTGCGAATCGCGGCGGAAGCGACACAGGTTCTTTACCGTTCCACATCGAAATGAGAACCGAATATCGCTGGCGTCCGCTTTAAAAAGTTTGCAAGAGACGCGTCGCAGTCGTTTAAATGTGTGTAAGTGTGAGAAAAAGATAGAGAGAGAGACAGAAAGAGAGAGCGGCAGCGTTCAAAGAGCGCCGTGTGTGTGAGAATGGTTTGGTTGCTACCAATGCGAGCTTCTTTTGGCCAATACACACTTTTTTTTTGTCATTCATCGCACTTCCCACTTCCTGCCCACATTTTCCTATTCACCGTCTCTCTTTCGCTGCGCGGATCGAGGTGAAGTCACTTGGCTTAATTGAGCACTTTACGCTTACGGTCACTGTTTGCTCTCCCTCGTGAGGTGTTACATTCTGGCCAGGCCCAAAGGTTGGTCTTAATGTTTCGCGCGACTGTTTGGCCTTTATTTACAATCACAAACACAAGAACAACAACACTAACAAGAGCATTTTGCAACGCGAAGTTGGCCGCAGCTGCGCGCCAGTGTGTGCACACCGGTGGCATTTTTAGGGGTTATTTTAAGAGTTGCCACACCAATTGCAGTTTGTGTAACGTATATTCAAATCAAAAACTTGGAAACCAATAGTTTATTAAGAGGTTGAAACAAAACTTGTTCTCACGCTTCTATACCTTGCACTTTAATTATTAAAAATAAAATCTATGTAGTTTAATTTTAAATTGTTGAACTTTATTTTTGTTGGCTTACATAAACATACTTCAAAATTTTAGGCCCACATGCGAAGGAATTGTGGGAAAATGGTTTCGACATGAATAGAATTCACCGCTTTTTATAAATTCATACGATCTGGCTAGCCTGCGCTGTCCATTCTCCTCCTCTACATCCTCCGAATCCTCCATATCCTCATTATCTGCTGTGTTTCACTTAACTTTAACTGGAACCGAGCGAAAGTAGAAAACATTCAAATCTTAAACATTAGCGTTAAATATTCGTTCGCCTAGGAATTCCGATATTGAAAGGTTTTAAGAGATTTTGATCAAATAGAACATACATATACATATTAACCATATATAAATGAAGCGACTTTGAGTCGCGCCTTGGAGAAGCTTACGATAGTTACTTTCCCATCTTTTGTTTCTGTGTGTTTTCTTATGTTTTTAGGGTCGTTAAACTGGTTGCTTGCATGCGTGCGTGTTTATGAATAGAGTGTGTTTTCGTGTAGTGTGTGAAAGTGTAAATAAGTCATGATTTTGTTTTCTGTATCCCCGTAGGAGAGCAACTGCATCCGCCTAATCCTTGCAGGTGGACGTGTCCATGGGACTGGCCGGCTGGATGAAGGCCGTGGCCGCCGAGCTGGGCGGATTGGTTGGCGTGAATGCCGACAGTGAGGAGTTGCTGCTGCTGTTGACCAGGTTGCCGCTGGACGAGTTGTTCAGGCTGATGTTCATCAGGTTGGACGACGACGACGAAGCACTGGAGTTGCCGGTCAGCTGGGCCAGTAAGCCTCCTCCGCCACCGCCAGCCAAAAAGGTGGCACTGCCGCCTGCAGAGGACATCGAACCCAGGCTCAGACGATCGCCGCCTAGATTCGAGAGAAAGCCGCCAGCGGCATTCCCGGCTGACACGGACGCCGACGAGGAGGAGCTGCCGGTGCCCAGAATGCCGAGCAGCGGGTTCGTGGAGGTCAGCACGTTGGGTGCGGAAGTGTTTAGGCCCAGCATGGGCGTTGGCAGTGCTGGCTTGATGAAGCGCTCGCTGGCGCGACGATTCTGGATAAAGAAATCAAATATTTGAAATATAGAAGTAAGCAGTAGTATACGCCGGACTCACCACTAGCTGGCCGCAGGCATAGCAGCGGTTTTGGACCGCCGTGCCCGGACTAAGGGGCCGGCTGCTCGAGGGACTGTGGGAGACGGGACTGCTGATGGTTCGCTGACGCTGGGCACTGACCGCCGAGGCTGCGGCCGCCGCTGCCGCCGCAAAGGAACCACCCGCCATCAGGTTCTCATTGTAGAATCGCTCCTCGTCCATCTCCAGCGAGGATTCCGACTCGGAGAGGTGCCGGCACAGGGCCTCACGGCGCTCCACCTCCTGCTTTAGTTTGCGCTGCAAACGGGCGTTCTCCTCGCGTATGGACTTCTCCTCCTGCGCATACTGCTGAGTCTTGATGGTGGCCTCCTTCTGGGCAGCGGCCAGGTCGGAGCGATAGCGAAGCACTTCGGAACGCAGAGTCTGGATATGGGCACTCAAACTGGTGGCCGTATCGCCGCCGTTGGCATGGGCATTGTTTGTGATGTCTCGTGGCGTGGTCGGATCGGATACGGGCTGATCCAACTTGATCTGCAGCGAACGCTTTTCGGTCTCCAACTTGTCCATGCGCTTCCACAGCTTGTTTACGAGAGCCTCCTGCTCCTGCTCGAGTGTGTTCTCCAGCTCGACCATCTCGCGGCGCAGCTGCTCGAGGTTCGTTTGCTTGTTATCCGTTTCCGCCTGGAGCTTCTCGATCTTGCGCATCAGCTTGTTGACGAGGCATTCCTGCTCCTGCTCCAGTGTCTGCTCCAGCTTGCACTTCTCCTGGCGCAGCTGGTCGAGCTTCCGGGAGAGATCGTTGGTCAGGCACTCCTCCTCGCGCTCGTAGTGATGCGCCAGTGTCTCCTTCTCCTTTTTGAGGGCCTGGATCTTCTTCAGTAGCGTATTTGAGATGTACTCCTCCTCCTGCTCGGCTTTGGCTTGCTGGGGGTTGATTAAAAACATTACAATAGTATCATTTTTCTAAAGTAATTTACTGGAAAGCTAATAAACAATTCTATATGAAATATTATACATGTTTAGCTCTTTACATGAAGTAAACCTTTGTCAATCTATAGATATCAGGTATAGGTAAAGGTATACTAACAATTATGACAGAGGCCTGTTTGAGGCATCGATTCTCCTCCTGCACCACCTTGCACTTGGTCTTGAAGGTGTCCAGCTCGGCTTTCAGCACCCTAGAAGCGTGGAATCGTATGAATTCTGGGAAAATGGAACTGCCTAGACGACGGGATTGACTTACTTGTTCTGCTGAGTCAGCGATTCGATCCTCTTCTGGAGCTGCTCCCGGGAAACTGGACTCGGTGGCAGCATGGTGCCGCCATCCAGCGAACTCTCCGATTCACAAGGACTCTCCATGCCTGCAAAATTAAAGGTAAATGGCCCTGTGCCACGGGTGGTTTTTTTTTTATTTTTTAGCATATATTACAAGAAATACTGTATGCCCGTCGCTTTTTAGCTATGTAAATACATATGCATGTACTTGCATATATATATATATACATTTATATACATATGAGGGGCTGGCTGTTCTTTATTCTTGACTTTTTCTACGCCTCGTGAAGAACAAAGAATATAGAAATCGGTCGGTGGTGGTGTTTGGTTTTGGCCCTGATCCGATAGAAAAGTTTAACCTTCAGCTGTGATTTTCTGTGCATCTGGCTTGATGCAATTTTTCGGAAATCGATAGAAGGGCAAGGTCGGCGGCCGAAGAGTTTGCAAAGGGGGCACCACCACCCACAGTCCTGCGACCCCCTACCGCAGCCACCGGAAAGTAATCCCCTTTTTTTCACCGGCTGAAAGTCTCGCCTTTTCCCAGATTTTACCTTTAGTTACCTGGCTTTTGTGTTGGTTCGCCTTAAAAGTCTTTTGCCTTCCGCCGCCTCTGCTCCTCCCCCTACTTCGTCACTCCTTCGCCGCCTCTGTTTCACCAGGGCTCGGATGGCTTTGCCTCACTTTCCTTGCTTCTCACCTGCGCAGGTGAGAGGTTGCAGGTGCAAACGGATTCGAGCTCGACTTGAAGGGCTTAGGGCCTGTCGATCTGTGTGCAAAACATTTTGCCCGTGCCGATCGAATAAAATTAATATCAAATTGCGAAAAATCCACAGTGCGAAAGTGTGACCGTATATGGCGAGAAATACCAAAAAAGCGCTCACCTCAAAACGCCGCTGGTGATGGTACTTTGTAAAATAGCAAAAGAGATGGTAGTCAAGCTCAAGAAACAACTATCGTATTTAAAATATTGTAAAAAATAAATAATAGTCCTCAAAAATATAACAAAATTCAGACAGTTGTGTTCCAGGTAGTTCAGGAACTTTTTTGGAAGTATTGCTGTTTAAAACAGCGAGGTAAAAACCCGAAAAAATTAAAATCAGTTTACTTCGATTTAAAATGAACTATTTTTTATAATTACAATGGTAAATACATTATTTTATTGAAAAAATGTTTTCTTAAATTAAAAACAACTTCTTTAAAAATTGTATTTTTAAATCACGTTTTTAGTATTTTTCTAAAGACGAGATCTGGTATTTTAACAATAGTATTTCACCGGACATCCACGTGCAGCGCGTAAACAGCAAATAATTTGATAATTCGAGTTATTAAATCGCTTAAATCATGGCCGAAGATGCTGGCCAGGACAAGCGGAAGCAGCACCGCGCCCGCCAGTCCGGCGTGAGTGCGGACAAGAAGAAGCTGAAGGCCAAGAAGGACTCCAACCAAAAGGACCCCGAGCTGACCGCCAGGCAGAGGAATCCCAAGGCGTTCGCCATCAACTCGGCCCAGCGGGCGGAGAGGAACTTCCGGCGCAAGGAGGACCTCACGGCCAAAAAGCAGCACATTCCGGTTGTGGATCAAACCCCGGACGTACCGCCACCCGTACTAATTGCCGTGGTGGGCCCGCCCAAAGTGGGCAAGACGACGCTGATCAAGAACCTGATCAAGAGCTTCACCCGCACGAATGTCACTGAGATCAAGGGTCCCATCACTATTGTGACCTCCAAGAAGCGCCGCATCACCTTGCTGGAGTGCAACAACGATGTCAACTCCATGATCGATGTGGCCAAGTGTGCCGATCTGGTCCTGCTGCTCTGCGACGCGAGCTACGGCTTCGAGATGGAGATTTTCGAGTTTCTGAACATCTGCCAGGTGCACGGCATGCCCAAGATCATGGGTGTGCTCACCCACCTGGACATGATCAAGAATCCCAAGCAGCTGAGGAAGCGCAAGAAGGAGCTGAAACACCGCTTCTGGACGGAGGTCTACGATGGCGCCAAGCTCTTCTACCTTTCGGGTCTTCTACATGGCGAGTATCTGCGCAACGAGGTCAAGAACCTGGGACGCTTCATTTCGGTTATGAAGTTCCGACCGCTGCAGTGGCGCGGAGCACATAGTTATCTGCTGGTGGATCGCCTGGAGGATGTCACCAACACGGATCGCGTTCGTCGAGATCCCAAATGCGATCGTGAAGTGGTACTCTATGGCTATGTCCGAGGAGTCCCTCTCAAGCAGGAGCACATGGTTCACATTGCTGGATTGGGTGACGCTCGCATCGATGAGCTGAGCGCCATACCCGATCCATGCCCTCTGCCTGGGACAGAAAAGAAGCGCAGTCTGCTGGAGAAGGAGCGCTTGCTGTACGCCCCCATGTCCGGAGTGGGTGGCATTGTCTACGACAAGGATGCGGTGTACATCGAGCTGCAGGGCTCGCACTCGCACAAGGAACAGGAGCAGACCGCCGAAGCCGCCGAGCAGGCGGAACTGGTCAGCAAGCTGATCGACAAGAAGACCACCATCGATGAACAGATGGGGCAGCAGGAGTTCCGTCTCTTCTCCGATGCCAAGCCCATCAAGTCCAAGGACTTCCGAAATGATGAAGACAACGAAGATGAGGAGAATGAGGAAAGCAGCGAGGATGAAGATGGGGAGGATTCTGGTCTGGATGATGCTGAGAGTGAGGAGGAACAGGATGAGTTTGGTGCGGACGATTGGCGTGGCGAGAACAGCGAGGAGGAGGATGATGAGGATGAGGAGGCTTCTTCTGGCGATGAGGAGTATCAAAGCCTGGGAAATGTGAAAACGGCCAAGGAATCCGATTCGGACGATGAGGAGGCCCGCGTTCTGGCCAGCAACATGAGCTGGAAGACAAACCTGGCGCAGAAGGCTCGTGATGCTTTCCTGCAACGTCATTCGGAGTCCAAGAACCTGATGCGCCTCGTCTACGGTGTCTATAATCAGAGTGAACGCAGCCGCCAGGAGGCAGAGGAAGATGAAAATGAAGACTCCGAGGAGGAGCTAGGTGGACTGTTCCGGGTGGCGGCTAAGAAACAGACCCAGCAGCAGTCTGACAAGGACATCAGGGATAAGGACGAGCGATGTTTCTTCGAGTATCAGGGTGGTAAGTAATTTAGCTGGGTAGTTATCTTTAAGAACTATAGAAATGATAAACATACCCCTCTTTCTGCACAGATGCCACTCGCGATTGGTTGGCGGAGGACAATAAGGAGCTGATTAAGAACTGCTTCGTTACCGGCAAGTGGAAGGCCAGCGAGGATGCAGAGAATCTGCTGAAGATGGACGACATGAGTGACGCCGAAAGCGAGGTCTACGGGGACTTTGAGGATCTGGAGACGGGCGAGCAGCATAGTGGAAAACCCAAGATGGCAGATGGTGCAGAATCGGATGAAGAGGGTTCGAAAGCTGCGGAATCCGCTGCAGCCAAGCGCAAACTGACGCGCGTTGAGGAGGAAAACCTTACCAAGGCCGAGCTTATGGCCAAAAAACTAAAGCTAAAGGCCAAGTTTGATGCGGAATACGACAACAGTGGCGAGGGAAAGGGCGAGGAGGACACTGGTCGCATAACCGGCGATCACTCCTTCTACGAGGACCTCAAAGCGGAGGCTCAGCGACAGAGCGAGCTGAACAAAAGCGAGTTTGCTCACCTGGACAATGAATTCCGCATCCAGATCGAGGGCTATCGACCCGGTCTTTACGTGCGTCTGGGATTCAAGCAGCTGCCCGCCGAGTTTGTGGAGAATTTTGATGCCAGCTATCCCGTGCTGGTCGGTGCCCTAAACCTGACCGAGGAGAACGTTGGCTACGTCAACTGCAAGGTAAAGAAGCATCGCTGGTACAAGAAGATCCTCAAAACTGGAGATCCGTTGATCATCTCAATGGGTTGGCGGCGTTTCCAAACGGTTGCCATCTATGCCAAGGTGGAGGACAACTTCCGCCAGCGCTATCTCAAGTACACACCCAACCACGTCACTTGCAGCATGACCTTCTGGGGCCCAATTACGCCTCAAAATACTGGCTTCCTAGCATTGCAGACTGTGCGGCAGGATCAGGAGGAGATGCGTCGACTGGGCTTCCGGATAGCGGCTACTGGCTGCGTCACCGAGCTGGACAAATCCTCGCAGATCATGAAGAAGCTCAAGCTGGTGGGTCATCCCTTTAAGATCTACAAGAAGACGGCGTTTGTGAAGGACATGTTTACCTCTTCGCTGGAAGTGGCAAAGTTCGAGGGCGCCAAGATCAAAACTGTCTCTGGAATACGAGGACAGATCAAGAAGGCTCACCACACGCCCGAAGGTTCCTATCGTGCGACATTCGAGGACAAGATCCTACTGAGCGACATTGTCTTTTGCCGCACCTGGTTCCGTGTGGAAGTACCCCGATTCTACGCTCCTGTGACCTCACTCCTGCTGCCGCTAGAGCAGAAGAGCCAGTGGCAAGGAATGAAGACGCTGGGCCAGCTTAAGCGGGAGCGGGCAGTGCAGAATGCTGCCCAGCCGGACAGCATGTACACGTCGATCGTGCGCAAGGAGAAGATCTTCCGGCCATTGACCATTCCCAAGGCACTCCAAAGAGCTCTGCCGTACAAGGACAAACCCAAGCTGGGACCAGAGAATCCCAAGGCGGCGTTGGAACGTGTGGCCGTCGTCAACTCGCCATACGAACAGAAGGTGGCCAAGATGATGAAGATGATCGAGACAAACTACAAGGACAAGCGGCATCGCGAACGCCTGGAGACGAAGAAGCGGATCAAGAACTACCGCGAGAAGAAGCGGGAGAAGATGGCCTCCAAGGAGAGGCGCCAGAAGGAGCTGCGCAAGAAGGTGTCGCGGGCCATTAGCAAGATGCGGGGAAAGCAGTCGGCCTAAGCTAGAATTTCGCTGTATAAAATATAGATAATAAATAAAATGTTTCTATGATCCTTTTAAATCCTAGTCCCCCATTTGAATACCAAACTTAGATGTATTTCTATTAAAATTTACTCAACGTCCGTGCTGCCGGCGCTGGAGCAACTGCAGCAGTCGTTGAATTGGATACCCCTGGGCCAGCCACTGATGCAGCTGCTCCAACTGAGCCGGTCGCACCGGTCTCAGCTTGAAAAATATATATATAACTCAACACCGCTTAGGGACTAACTTGAACTGGACATGGGTGGAACTAACGTGGTGTACTCTAGTCCTGACTCTTGTTGTCGTCGATCGTCTTCAGGGCGGCCAGGAGGGCGTGCTTGCGGCTGCCGGTCATGTGGCTACTGGCCGCCGCTCCGCCAGCGATGCTGTTCCTCTTCTTGGGCGCCGGATCGTCGCGCATGTTGCTGTTGCTCGCCTGGCGGCAGAACGTCTTCAGGAAGCTCTCACGCTCCTTGTAGTCATCCGAAATCTGCTTGCGCAGGCTGGACATGTTTTCCTTCAGACGCGGAGCACGAATACTGTTGTCCTGGGACTGCTAACAGTAATAGGGATTACAACTAGAAGAGAATAGTAATGGGGTGGTGAATACCTCGTCATCGCTGCGCTGCGTTTGCTGGCCATCCGTTCCCTCGTCGTCCTCCTCCAGCGACTCCTCCAGAAGATCGCCCTCGCTGCTCTTGGCGTCCAGGTAGGCGGCATACTTCACGAGGCTGGCCTCGTTGGCATTCTCTTCGCTATTGTCCTCTGGTTCCTCGCCCTCCTCGCACATCTTGCCCATCATGGCGTAGGCGTCATCCTCATCATCCTCGCCCGCCTGCTCATAGTCATCCTCGTACTCGTACTCCAGGGATTTCAGGGATTGCTGCTTAGACTTGACCTCAGCGGATGCCATTCTGGACAGGACTTCCGGTTCACGACGTTTGCTGGCTTGGACACTTTCCGCCTTGGGAGCTGCAACGCCAATTCTGGATCTACCAGCCTTTCCAGAGGATACTGGGATCCTTCCCTGTGCCGACAGCACTTGGCTGAGAGTGGAACGGCTCGCGTTCTGACCCATCTTGGAGTGGTTGGTGGCCGGCGGCAGGATGAGCTTGCCGCCACGTCCTCCCGCCGTCTGTCGCTCCGGCTGGCCAGGCGGAGTGCTCGGCCCACTCTTGTCCTCCGCACTGTCCTTTTCGAAGTCATAGAACGATTCCGACTCCATGACGTCCGTTAGGGCGTTGAACTCGCTCTGGTTGTTCTTCTCGATGGCCTTGTCCAGCATATCCAGTGACTTCTCCAGCTTGTCGATCTTGTCCGGCTCCTCGGTGACGCCGCTCAGCTTGGTGCGCCGTCCAGAGGAAAGGGGATTAACCTTATCGGTGCCGAGCTAGATACGATAAAATGAAATATGGTCTGGTATACCTTATAGTTACACTCACAGTATACTCCTCCAGCTTGCGGTAGCCACTGATCTCCAGGCGGGCCTTCTCCAGCTTCAGCATCACCTCCTTGCCCTTCTTCTGCTCGTTGAGCAGCTGCTGGCGGAAGTTCTTCGACTCCAACTGCACCTTGCGGGCCATAAGCTTCATGTCGTTATCCTTGTCCTCCAGACGCTGCTCCAGGGATTTCAGCTTTTCCTGGAGCTTCTGGCGCTCGTCGAGGTTCCTGAATAAAAAAAGGGATATAAGGGAATGATCTTCATATAAAGGTGAAATGAACTTTATATGAAGGAGGGTCTAATAAATGTAGAAGTAAAAATGTTCTTTAAAAAATAATAAAATAGTGTTTCGAGTTGGTTAGATATCAATGTAAAATATTATTTGCGTTACTTAGAGATAAAAAGTTCGATTTCTAAAATATTATAATGGTATTATTTCAACCAAATGTATAGTAGAATATAGTTCCGATAATAACATTTGGATACTTTTCGCATTTCTTGCTTAAAACATTATAATGAAATCATTAAAGATCAAAGTTATGTTCCAACTATATAAAATACTATAGTACCCTACTAAACAAATTCAGACAGATATTAATGACTTGTATACAAAAAATATTTTTATAATGGTGTGTTTTTAAAGCGACGTGCAATACAGAAGTAAACCTTATAGATGTGATCCAAAATTGAAATCCTATTTCCTTTCAGGACTTTTAAGTTTATCTCGACCCAAGGTAAACTAAAACTATGTTTAAAATTTAAGTGTACCATGATTGAATCTAACTCTATTATCTCTTTTTCATGTAATCACATACTTATCCTTGTTGAGCTGACTGTAGTGCTTGTTCTGATCGCTCAGCGACAGGATGATGGCCTCCTTCTGCTTAAGCTTCAGCTCGAGGTCCTTGTTGGCGGCCTGGAGGTTGCGGTACTTGGTCTGCCACACGCGCAGCTCCTCGGCGTGGGAGTGGAGCAACTGCGGCAGCTCGGCGTTGTTGGACTCGTACTTGTTCAGCGCCGTGGACTGGCGCTTGTGGAGGGTGCGCAGCATGCGGTTCTCGTGCGCCAGGTTGGCGATCTCCGCCTGGGCATCGGCCAGCTGATTCTGGAAGGTCTTGGCGCGCAGATTCCTCGCGGACATGACCCGCTGATGGATCTCGCTGTGATTCTGGGAGGACATCGTCGGGTGGCTGGTGCCGGAGGAGCCCTTCATGCCGCCACGTTGTTGGGCAGGCTTGCTCCTCTGGTAGATCAAACTGGCCGATTCCCGGGAGCTGGCCGAGAATAGGCTCTCGCAGCTCTTTGCCGACGCTCTGAAAGGGGGATTTAAAGGGAGAGGGAGAGGGTTTTTAATGAGGATACCCCCGGAAATATGGACTCTACCCACGCCATCAGATTGTTCGCTTCCAAGCGGGGTGCTCTTGGGCCGTAGGACGATGCCGGCTTGCGCGGCGATACCATCTAAGATCCTGCCGCTGCTTCGGAGGATATCACTGGGTTAGCTCGATAAAGCTAGTAATTTTTCAGAGGCCGATTCGGATGTTTAGTGTAGTTGGAAAGATGGATGGAGAGCCGGTGCGAGGCGATGTCGAAATATAACTGAAAACCAAGTGCCTGCTGCTGTGGTTACGCCTGATGTTTGATGTTTGTTTATTGTTTGCTCCGCCGACTGCTGCGTTGTTGGGGATTATTCCGGAATCGGGGGTCCCAGGAACTGGTTGCCATGGCGCCCCCGATAGCCAGCCTATCGATGGGGATTCGCTACTCGGGACTTGGGTCCTTTCTTGAGCCAGGGCTTTTCTAACCATCGATGAAATGATATTTTTATTATTCCTCGCGAGATATTAATGGAATTTTGTCCATGATTCTTTGCTATAAGCCTGAATGATTAATTTAGTTATATAAAAAAAATTTTAAATTTAAATTTTGATTAAAATCTAGTTTTGAAAAAACTTACAAGATAACAAAAAAAAAATTTTCTTTTTTTTTAAAGAATAATTTGCACATTCTCAGCACCACTTAACCCACGTTTTTAAAAGGTCAAAGGTTGAAGCTTCTATGCAGTATATTTGGTAGTTTAAACTAAATAAACACTAAAGTGAACACCTACATCGGAGTTAAACTAAGACTCCTCTTTGGCTTTGGCCTTCATCTCCTCATATTTGATGCGATATAGTCCCTCGGGGTCGTAGATCTTCTCCAGGCGCTCCCAGTCACTGGGTCGGTTATCAATTAGGTGACGGGTCACCTTCTCAGCACCATACCGCTGCTTCTCCGTGCATTTGGTGCAGTCGGTTTGGATTGCGTCGGGTAGGATTTCTACAAGGGATAGTGGGGATTACTAATAGTATTTTACCGGGATTTAGAATTACCCTTTAGCATCTTGGCATCGGGAGTGCAAGGACCCGTGCCCTCCAGGCACTTGATGTAGTTGATCAGCAGTCGCTCCTGGTTGAGGATTTCGTCCAGGTCCACATTATCGAACTTGTCGTCATAGGCCCTTTCCACCATCCTCTCCATCATGGGTGCCACTGAGGTGGCCGGTGGATGGGGCAGTCCATCCACACGGAAACTGGTGGTGCACATCAGGGCAACCACCAACGAGGTGTGCCACATGGCCAGACGGAAACTGGAACGTCCCATTTCGTATAGATCGTATGCTGCCAATCATATCAGCAACCCCGTCTTTTATAGAGGGCTACCTGTTGGGATCACCGTGCGTGTCTCCGTCCAATTTGACCACTTACCAATTGAACTCAAATTAAGTGAATTCAGTTTGATTACCCTTAGCCCATCGTGCATCAAGTAAAAGCGGTTGCGGAATTTTTTCTAACGGAATTTTTTTAAACACGCGTTATGGGTCATACAATTTTTAAGTCTGGTTAAAAGCTAATTAATTTGCATGCATGATGAAAAACTTAAATTAAATTGTAAAATTAGGTATCCATTAAATTGGTAAGACAGCATTGTAAAATATTAATTTCAATAATATTATTTTAAAAAAATAAATAAAAACCACAATTTTTTAAACTATATAAAACAAAAGGTTTACAACAAAAAGGTTTCTTTAAAAATTGTAATGTATTGTATCTTGGTTTCTTGAGTTCCTGTTGAGGTCTAAATAATTTAACACCAAGAAATTCTTGAAAAAAAAATTGGGATTCTAAAACGTCTGTAATTAGTTTCGACAAGAACATTTCCTAAATAGAAAAAAAAATTAAATAAAATAAACTATTTTCATTTTTACCTGCCATTGGTTTCTGTGTAAATCATTGAACAAAAATAGGTTTTTTTCATCTTCCTCTGGTAGGTTTCATATTTTGGAATCCAACATAAACAGGGAATTACCCTAAATATAATTATTAGAGGTGTAAGAAATATATCGTTTTTTGAGGGATTGCCAATGAACCGTAAACGATGCTTTAGAAAATGTAAGTTTGCTGGCATTTAATTTAATTTATTAAAATATTATATTTTATTTAAGTTTCCTGCACATTATACAATTTTAAAAAGTAATATCGATAGTCCATGCTACCGATGTTTTGAAAACATCGATGATGCCAACAGCGATATCGATGTTTCTCCACCTCTTATTCGTTTCGGCGCTTTCTTTTTCAACGGACTGAATTTTCTTTAACTGCTCCATTTACGCAAGCGAAAAGAATCGATGCAATTGCCAAGATCCGGAAACATTGCGCCCTAGGCAACGCAATCGCAAGGTATTTACGACCCGTGGATTGCGTCACAGTGCGGGAAATGCCAAAAAAGCGACCATCTGTGCGGCGATCAGTGTAAAACTCTTGATTTTACAGTGGGCGCCCCACCAAGGACGACCTAGAAACGCCCCACAAGCCCCACGGAAAGTAGGACAGGTGACATCACCATAGATCACCATGATCCACGTCGGCGAGAACTCGTGGAATCTGCGGATCTTCATCACGGACCTAGCGCTGGAGAAGACGATGCGCGTGCGCGGTGACCAGCACATTGGGGGCATCATGCTGCAACTGGTGGATCCGGAGAATCCCAAGGACTGGTCGGATCATGCGCTTTGGTGGCCCGCCAGGAATGTGTGGCTCAGCAGGACGAGACTAACCCTGGATCAGTGCGGTGTCCAGGCGGACAGTCTGCTGCACTTTACGCCCATGCACAAGATACTGCGGGTGCAGCTGCCGGACTTAAGGTATCTCGACTGTCGCGTGGACTACTCCGTGAAGACCTTTTCGGCGGTGGTTAATCTGTGCAAGCAGCTGGACATCCGCTATCCGGAGGAGCTCTCCCTGTGCAAACCACTTGAGGCGGAGCACCTGAAGCGCAACTTCGCCCAGGTGCCGCACCAGAAGAGAGTGCCCATCGCTGAGCCGGATGGCACCACTTACCTACAGCCGGCTGCAGACACCAACTCCTTTGTGCCAATCAGCACTTCGTTTCATGGAGATGGTGGAAGCACTGGCAGTTTGGACAAGCCCTCGGCACCGGGATCCTTCTTCTGCGCTCCTCTGTCGCCGCACAATCACCGAGCTCGCTCGCCCTTGGCCACGGCCTCACCTTCCCCCGGCACCTGGAAGCAAAGCCAACTGGGTTATGCCACCTACGATTCAAGCTCCTCAAGTCTTGGTGACTTTCAGGAGAATCTGGCCAGCTCACCGCCCACTCCTTGCTCCGATGTGCGGGCCCTTCAGCTGCGCCCCAAGTCACTGGTGGAGAAGGCCCGACTGAATGTGGGCTGGCTGGACTCGTCGCTGTCCATCATGGAACAGGGCATTCGGGAGTACGACACGTTGTGCCTACGCTTCAAGTACTTCACCTTCTTCGACCTGAATCCCAGGTGCGACCAGGTGCGCATCAATCAGCTGTACGAGCAGGCCAAGTGGAGTGTGTTAAACGAAGAGCTGGACTGCACCGAGGAAGAGAGCCTTATGTTCGCTGCCCTGCAGTTCCAGGTCAACCATCACGTGGATCCCACGCCCCAAGGTGGAGCGGTGGACTCTGGCATCGAGACATCCAGTCAGGAGAATGACAACGACGACGAGATCGATTCGGCTCTCAAGGAGCTTCAGATCACGCTGGAGGGACCGGATTTTGGCGGAGATTCGCGGAACATCACACGCATACCCGAGCTCTCCGACTATCTGCGGTACCTGAAGCCGCAGAGATTTACGCTGCGCGGCTACAAGCGATACTACTTCACCTACCGTGATTTGCACTTGCACTTGTTCAAGAACGCAGAGGAATCGCGACGCGTTGCCCCCGTTATTAGCATAAACCTAAAGGGCTGCGAGGTCACCCCGGATGTTAACCTTGCGCAGGGCAAGTACGCCATTCGACTGGAGGTCCCTTCGAACGGAGGACACGGCACCAACAGCGAGGTGTGGGTGCGCTGCGAGAACGAGCAGCAGTACGCTAAGTGGATGGCCGCCTGCCGACTAGCGGCCAAGGGAAGATCCCTGGCGGACAGCTCGTACGAGAGTGAAGTGGATGGCATACTTTCGCTACTGCAGATGCAGCGACCGGTGCACGGAGTACATGTCAACATTGATCCGCGCTCCGTGGAAGCTGTTGACTACCTTTCGCCCAAGATACATCGCAAACTATCGAACAAGGCAGTGCAGCGGATCCTCGAAGCTCATGCCAACGTTAGGGACTTGAATCCTCTGGACTCGAAGATGAAGTACATCCAGGCATGGCGATCACTGCCAGACTTCGGAGTCAGCTTGTTTATCATCAAGTTCGACGGGCATCGGAAGGAGGAGCTGCTGGGCGTGGCCCACAACCGCATCATGCGCATGGATCTGAGTTCAGGAGATCACATCAAGACCTGGCGTTATAACACCATGAAAGCCTGGAATGTCAACTGGAACATCAAGTGCATGATGATCCAGTTTGAGGACGAGAACGTGGTGTTCTCCTGCCACTCTGCCGACTGCAAGGTGGTCCACGAGTTCATCGGTGGCTACATTTTCATGTCGATGCGGTCGAAGGACAACAATCAGACCCTCAACGAGGAGCTCTTCCACAAGCTCACAGGCGGTTGGTCCTAGGATTGTAACTCGTATTTAATGGCAGCCAGTTTCAGTTGTTCGAATTTTGTAAAGATAAGCAAATGTTTTTATTGTTAACCAACTGATAGACTCACAACTTCAATGCAATACTTGTATTTACGTTTATTTTACCTTTTAATTCGTTGTTAACTAATCTTGTTGATGATTTTTAACCACGAAAATCGCTTGCCAATGGCCCTTTTGCCTACCAACTCTAAAACAGACTTAACCGTGGCCTTAGCAATGTTTTTGTATGACTAACTTTTAAGTGTACAATAAATAAATAAAGACTTACCATATTACAATTGATTGTTTCAATGTTATTTAGGGTTTTTAAAAGAAATGATTTTTGAGAAACCCGTTATTAAAGCTTATTTATTAAGAAGTATAAATGCCTATCTTTTTATAGGAATCAGTGAAGTTTCGAAAAATTAAAAACATAAATAGTATGTTGATTTGAAATCTACCAATACAGGTATTTCATCGTATTATAGTTATGGGTTAATATCTAAGACTTTAGAATATTTTTTTAAAATTTAAATTACGCGGTACTGATTAATTAAGCTTGATAACTTTGAAAAATGCCCTCGATAGTTTAAGAATCGAACAGTGCACATCTCTAACTTGGCGCCAGCTTTGTTAAGTTGTCATGGAAACGAAAGTATTTCCCGTTAAACTACAGCTCCTTAACTAAATTAATAGTGCTACATCGGACTCATATATGATTAGCCTAAGTCTATCCTCGAGTTAGGAACTCTGGATCATGGAGGAAGCAGAGGAAACGCCAATCTCTCGCACGGCTTACGAAGTGCAAAGGGATTTTGGCTTCAGCAGCGGGCTGCGTTCCGAAATTATTTGGGATTCGTAAGTTATGCAATTATCTGAATAATCTTGTCTACTCAATATATACAAACACATTCAGGTTAGCCCCTGATCAAGGGGATGTGCTAAAGCAAAAGATAGAGAACCTCATTCGCGAGGACGACGCCCGGAATGCCAAGGCAATACATCGAAGGCGGGATCTGCTTTTCCGGAATATTTGGCAGCAGCGTCGGTACACCAATGGCACGCTACTATCCGCCATCATCTACGTGCTGGTCACGCCAGAAGCGGACCCGGAATCGGCCCTGCATTCCAACAATTACAGCTGTCATCCAGTTTTCCGTACTCGTCGCTGCATGAAGGGCGAGAACAGCGCCGCCTGCTGCATGATCTTTGTGGACGAAAATGCCCGGGTGTACTCCAATTGGGAGCAGTATGTCTTCCGAAACACCCTGCCCAAGGGCCTGATGATTGCCCCTAGCCAAGGAGTCTACACCTTCAGCGATGGCGAGGAGGCCGGCGTCCAGTTGATGGTCCATCCCACGCCCGCGGCGCGAGGCCGGTATAGATTACTCAATGCCGGCGATAAAGTTGCCACTGTGGGTGGGCTGATGGCCAGTGTTCCGGCTGCAGCTGCTCTGGCGGTGCCTCTGGCCGCTCCCCTGGTGATTGCCGCCACCGCTGTGGGCGTAGCCACCGGAGTGTACACCACTCTGCGCTCGGCCTCCCATCTCATTGATCGTCGAAGGCACGGTCAGTCCACGTCTATTACAGATGGTGACGCGCGCTGCTCCTGGCTGGGCGTCGCAGGTGGCGTTGTGGGTCTGGGCGCCACCGGGGCCACAAAGGCCCTGGCCACGGCTGCCGGTGCAGGCTACAAAGTAAACCCCGCTGCCCAGTTGGCTGTGAGGGGCATAAATGGTGCCTCAGCGGTCATCGCCGGAACCGGAGTGGTCAACGGTGTTTACGATTTGTATTTGGTAAGTTCACTCGATCAAATAAGACTCCTATTTCATTACTTTCTTCCTCTACCTCAGAAAATTGGAGATGACCAAGCAATTAACAGCTTAGATATGTTGCAAATGGCCTCGCACCTGGTCATCTTCACTCATTCCATTAACAATATGCGCATAGCTTCCAAGGCCACCAATGGCTCTTCCTTAAGGAAAGCGCTTCGCAATCAAACAAGGTTAGCCAAATTCTCTATTCCATCCAGAACCTACTTTAATCAATTTCTATTTTAACAGAAAAGTGATTGATCGCATCTCCCAGGAATCAGTTAAGCTGCACAATGAATCTGGCCAGTTTGATATTGTGCGCACGCTAAACGAAATTCCCTTTAAGGAGGTACTCCTCAGCCTTCATAACATCAACTCGAATCTGAGCCAGGGACTCACTGTGGCCACAACATTGCTACCCCAAATACTGAGCCTGGGCAGTGGCGGTAAGGTGCTCGTCAATCTGGAAATGTTGGCTCAAAAGTTCGGCGGCAAGTTTGCCCAGCACATTGGAAATCTATCCAGTTTTACGGACGTTCTAGAGGCCATGGCCAGATACTTTACGGATCAGGCAGTGCAGCTCCTTATGCAGATGACCCGCACTTTTGTGGAGGAGAACGTGGACTCCATTGATCGCACACTGAACACGTTCGTGTCCACGGAGGCTGTGCTCTTTCGGATTCTTATGCACTGCGTCAACACCTTTGATAATTTTGCGGAGGATTTCTTGCGCAGCCGCCGCGAGGATATATTGCTGGTGGTGTCCAAGTATTTTCGGTCTCTGGAGACTGTTGGCGAGAAGAACTGCCGCAAGTACAAATGCTCCGTTTGCAAAGGCGCTTACTATATAAGTTCCATATAGGATACTTGTCTGATTTAAGAGGAGGTTTTATTGTATTTGTTTTCCCAAAGTACGCTAGATATAATGTTTTCAAGTGCTTAGCTCCTCACCCCTCGAAATTGTCTGTTACTTAGCTAAAAACTTTGTGATTAATCATTGATCGAGCAACTATATGTCAACCGCATTGCAAGCTCTATATTATGATAGTTGTGATCTCATTATAGTTTAGGCTTATCCATAAAAGATTTTTTTTTTTTTATGGCTGATGTGCTGTGAGATTTTCTGCATAATGTTTGTATTTAATTGCCCCTCTAACCTTTATAAAAAGTAATTTTATTTCAATCAGGAGAATCAATTGTATTCGATTGTTTATTCAACTTAGATCTAATAGTATAAATAGTGTAAATGGATTCGGGCCCCTTGCTGGGGGCACAAAAGGTACTCTATAAGAGTGAGCGCGACTTGTAAAATGTACATCTTTAACCTAACTATGACTATGGACGGAGTCAGAAAATGCTGACCAGATGGCACCGACGTGGAGCACGGAACTGGAGGTCTCTTAGCAGAAGAACTCCTCCTCGCACTGGTTAAAGCAACAGTAGGGGATGTTGTTGTAGCTCCTGCTCGAGTGATCCCGCTTGAATCGCTGCTTCTTCTCGTGGTGTGGATTATTGGGCTTGTAGCGTGGGAAGATTTCCATTTCGCTGAGACGGTTGAAGTGCTCCAGAGTCACCTTCAAATATCCACCCATTGGATAGCTGCTCCGCCGGATGTGATGGTGCTTGTTGTGCGTTTTACCGTCTGAAATAGTCGGGAAAAAATGGGGGAAACGTTGCGAGTGAGCAAATTGATCTTGAACCTGCGCCTTGAAATCGGTTAACTTTTGCATCGGAACTGCTTTATGCAAATGCCGGTGTAATGCGCGTATTAATTGCAATCTACACACTTTAAAAACGTGTTTTCGATATGCAGTTCCGAATGCAATTGTCGGGTTGACTGACACTCTGACCTTATTAAGTCGCTAATATATTTTCTTCTTTTTCTTACAGATTACAGTGGATATATAAGGCAGAAATAATTTAAAATTATTTATCTTTAATGGGCAAAGAAATTTTAAGATAATTGTGGAAAATATGAAATGATTATGTCTTGACATATCAATACAAAAATGGGACTACAAGGTCCTACAAGTTAAGTTAAGTATTTTACGAACTTCCGTTTTTATTAGATCAATATTTTAAGGTAAAGTATTTTTGTTAATAGAAAAATTTAATTTTTATAGTTCTTTCTCTCTTTCTAGATAAGTATCTATGTTCCAAAAACTTGACTAAAGATCATCACCATAAAAATATAGTGGATACTTACGTCCGAGTCGATTTAGATGGTGGTGGTTCTCAACGGATCTCCGTTCTCGACGGGCACCTTCGTCCTGCTGGAACAAGTGCTCGCAGGCCTCCATCGCGAACTTCTTCATCCGTTCCAGGGAGCAGTAGCCCGATGAGCTGTCGAGCAGGCAGAATATTCCGAGGATCAGCAGCATCCAGCGGCACACATTAAACTGTAAGGGAGGAGCGAAAAAAACAAGACATTGTGAGTATGAGTATTTCCAAATTAAAACCCCCAAACGGCCTCCGGCGCCTAATTATAAATCGCTGACGCTCAGAATTTATCGCATATGTGTTACAACGATCCTCTAACCGGCTGCACTCTGCTCTGCCTTGGTTTTTTGTAATCTGAATGTGGCTCGCATCTCGGGACATGGACATCGAATCTGGATTAACCACTTTGGATGACGACAACCGGGATGTGGGGATGACGTCGCCGACTCCCACGCACTGGATTATGCGGCCCATTAACTGGGTCAATATCGCGTCAAGATCGAAACATAAACTGGAGCGCATTTGCAAGTCGACGCGACCAAATGGTTAAACTTAATTGCCGCCTTTAATGACCGAAACTTCCCCGACATTACAGAGAGCTGGTGTGGAAATTATGTAATGCGCCTCGCAGGTAGGCATTTCCGCATTTTGCATTTCGCACTTTGCGGTGACAATCTGTTTAGCACTCGCTCCCATATAAATCCGAGTCGGAATCGGTCCGGTCATTATGCTTTTGCCAGTGGCGAACAAAAGCGCATTTGTTTATATTGATATTTTTAGCCGACAGCCTGTTAATTGTACACACCCACTTTTGCATCGAGGCTAATTTAAGTAATTAAAGTGAGGTTTTCTTAGAAGTCAGTTATTGATTTTGGAAAGTTTTGGTATGGAATAAATTTAGATAATCTGGAAAAAGATAGCTTGAAGTATTTTTTTAAAAAATAAAAAATGATTAAAATCCACTAATATGAGAAGAAATAATTTTAAATAATACTAGTTTTGGAATAGTACTTATTTTTGTAAGTTCCATATCTAATCTGTTTTTAGAAACCTTTAAAACTAATCTATTACTACTCCTCCTGCTATTATATATGTGTTTATAAACACTATTTTAGACAACTCACCTTTGAACTCATTTTAATTCCTTTTTAGGATCACAACTCCTGTAAGATCACTATGGCGCGTTGACCACTATTTCGGGATGCAACACTACGTATACGTGTTTTTTTGGCGGGCAAATCGAAAACTTGCTGAATGAAAACCCGTCAGATCGGCGTTACCTGATAATCACGAGTGGCGAGCGCACAATGAAAGCTCACTCGAGGTCCCCAAGCTTTTATACGCGCTTCAAAAATCGAGAATCGGAGGTTCTCGACTGTCGCTCTTTATTTCGAATAGGGGGTGAGAGAGCGGCTTGGGATTTTTTTGGTTTTTGGGCTTGGGATCGGGATTGGAGCAGTTCGCAGGAGTTTTGCGTAAGCGGTCAAGGCGTGCCGGGAATTCAGAAATATATATTTTTTATCAATGGACTGCGGAACGGACGACGGACGTCAGACCTACAGAGTTGACTTTAATAGTTTCATGGCGCCGTCTTCAAATCTTCACGAATTTCAACATAATTGTTTTGGCCTCTCTGAGTCACCGCGAATCATGCTGTGCTGCTCTTGATAAAGATATGCCAAATACTGGTAGTATTTAAGAGTCTTATCAAAACACCTTGGTAGTGTAATAAGGTAGTAATAGATTGTTGTGACGGTCGACGGTGGCAGTGAAAGTTCCACTTGGACCTTGTTGCCAGGGGGTTTTTCTACCAGGGCAATGCACCTTTTGATAACCATGACACTTCGCCCACATCTAATTATTTGATTTAATTGTTAACGGAACTCATAATAACATTTATTAGTTCCCCAAAAACATTAAAATGTTTCCTGTTAGATGTTGACATTCCAAAGATTAACCATTGAACCCTAGAACTTTTATCAACACAAATGCATTGTGAAATTGAATGGACCAATCCAATTTGGTTTTTTTCTTGAGTCTTGCATATCTATACACCCACAAAAAATACCTTAAACAATTTGATTTAATAACAAAAATATTAACTTCATGCAATGTGAGAATATAACATACATAAATATTTTTAAAAACAAATGGTATTTAAATTTGTGATAGACATGACCCTACTTTTTGTCTTGGTGGCTGATAGGAACACAACATTTAATAAATATCTACCTTTCATTATTGACAATTCTGGTAAAACATGAAATGCACCACTTCAGTAAATGAAACTGAACATATTGAAAGCCGTTTTACCTGTATATTCATTGATAAGGAGTAATAACAATATATTAAGCAACTGAATGCTTATACATTAGATATAAAATTAAACTTTTATATAGATTTTTGAGTTAATTTAATCAAAATTTTAAAACTGGTTCTAGGAAGAAATAAAAATAAAGAGCAAATAACAGTTAACATTCACCCTAATCTTAACCATTATGACGCAAAAATACTACTGTACAAAAATATCTTCCGAAATATTATATTTTATTTGAAGAAAAATGCAGATATTAAAAGTGTTTTAACGAAATATAAATTGGTATAATAATATTTCGATTGATTACCGAAATGCATTGCCATAAATCCTATAACTTTTGGTTATTATAAATCCTTATAGCTGAAGTTGTAAAAAGAAAAAAGCGAAAGTGTAGAACTTTTACTCTCGTTTTCATTCGGCTTTTCTCGTGCGCAGCTCTGTCTTTCTCCCTCTATCTCTCTTTCTGGATCGCTTTCCCTTTCGCTCACAGGGTGAGCTGTTGCAGCATCATTGAGTGAGCAGTTACCGCTTAACGGTTGTTCTGTATCGAGCGTCATCATCGTTTGTTCTTTTTTTATCAGATCGTATCGTTTGTGTTACGTTCTTTTGGGATATATTTAGCCGCTCTCTCGGTCAATGCACACTTTCGGCCGACTTTTAATGTGTTCAGATCGTTACCTTTCGGATTTGGATTGAGATTCGGTTTCGTTTTGCTTTTGTTGTATTCGTTATCGCCTTCGTTGCATTTTCACATCGCATTAAACGCGGAAATGCTAACCAGCCCCCGTGGCGTATGCGCAATATTACGACGCAGTTGCACTTCCCCCGCAATTTCTCACGTATCCTTCGGAATGTGCATTCCCGTGCTCGTCCATCCCATTCCAATCCAATCTTCAGTACACCCCCAGCCCCCTCCCAAATAACGGTAACGGGCACGTTCTGGGAACCTCGATTTTGGCTTGGAATGTGTGCGTTGTGGGTAAAACTCTTTTTGGTATGCCGCAATTTAAATGGTTCGCCACGGGCTCTCATTCATAAATACAATTTCACAACCTGATTTTTAGGAATCGCGCCACTTGCGCCATGTCAACGATCTCCGCCGAATGCCCCTACCTGGGCATCAAATTCACAACTCATTATCAAACACAAAAAATAACAAAAACCGAAAAAAAGAGCCGAAATACAACAAAAAAAACCCAACGGAGCATGAAACCCAAACAGGTTTTTGGGTTCTAATAGAATCGCCGGTCCATCGACGATCTGATATTCGTGCAGTCTAGACGAGAGCATTTCGCATATGGGTCCTTTCCTTGGCAACAAGAAAAGAGCAGGGAATGTCGCTCGATCTTCTGAGAAGGGATCTTTAAGTTTGGGCCGCAGTCGGGGATGAGGTGCTGGAGGGGACCAATGGACCAATGGTCCAAGGGACAAGGGACATCGATGGACCGCTGGCAGAGCGTGTGAGCTAGTGTTTTTGTTTTGATGCCCAGATCTCCTGTTCCTTGAACTGAGGGCGAAAGTGGTGCGTCACGTCATCTCCGGTGTCTGACTTTGCCGGCGGCTTTGTCGTTCACCTTTGCCAATCCTCGTCCTCGTCCTCATCCAAGTCCTCTGCCAGCTCCTTTGGCATGCCGAAGGGTTACTCTTTCGCCCTGGGTTCAAAAAACTCTGCAACTGCCTCGGTGGGATCGCATTTCAAATTAGAAATTCTTTTTTTGGTGGTTCCGAGTAGCACATGGCCTAAAAGAATACCCATTCGTTTTGGCAGGGGATTTCAAATATCTAAATGGGGAATATATAAAGGGCTAAAAAGATTGATTAAAATTTAGAAAATCTTTAGGCATTGATCTTCAGAGAAAGTAAACTTTTTTCAATTTTCCTTTTATGATTTTATTGAAGTCAGAAAATTGCATACGATTTTTGTCATACTTAGCTTATGAATTAAACGTTTATAGGTTAAATCCTATGCTTATGACTAAAAAGTATGCTACACAATATTGGTTCTGAAAACCCCCTTAGCCAAATCTTGGCTACACCACTGTCGACATCAATTGGTTGCACAAATTTGTCCATCCCAAAGATCTGGTTGCCACCTGAATGATTTACTTAATATTAAGATTAAGATTCCTTAAATTTCATCTTTTTTTGACACGGCCCCTAATGCGATATTTTATTAGGGTAAAATTAGCAACGTCTTAATTTATTATGCCCTTAATACCAAAGAAGAGTCTGAAATTTAGTTTGGTATCTCCAATGCGAAAAACCGTCTTTAATTTTCGTTCACGAATGAAGCTGTGGCCAGCATACATACTTCTCATACAGAGTAGTCATAATGACTCATGAATACACCATTATTATTTCGTCATGACTGTCAATGACCAACTAATAGCCTAGCAACATAAATCAAGTTTGGCTATAAATAGTGCCAAAAGAAAACGACCCCTAAATACTATTAAATAAAGAGACGATGGTCAGTGAGTAAGATGACAGGTGAAATTCCCAGTAGTGGTTATCTTTTCTATGATCAAAACTCATTGGGCACATCATCTCCGAAATTCCAAGAAGCCTTTTAATAACTTATAAATGATTTATTTGTTGATTCATGGTGATTGCGAATGAAAATTACATCAAGGAGTAAGAATTTTTGTAAAGTTTTAAAGAACATTTGAAGAGCATTAGGACTGCTGCTTTCCGAAAAGTGTGTTTCCCTAGTTTTCAATATGCGTTTCGTTTCAGAGTACGAACCGCCAAAATTTAAATTTTAAAATGTACTAAATTTAGTTTTTCGTCTAAAACAATCGATCGATTTTAGTACATAGCAATCGATAATGTCATCAGTGTTTGACCGTCTCATCACCAATCATATGTTTTACGGTTATGTTATGCCGCAATAATTCTGTTAAGAAATGTTGGCCGCCCGCAGATTACTACGAGAGCCACGGATTTCCGGCACTTTGAGCTGGTCCCGCTGGAGCAGCGATGCCGCCAAAGCGACCACAGAAGCCACCGTCCTGGCGGAAAGCTTGGAAAAGAGACAGCAGCTTCTCAACGAGCTGGCGGAGCCATTGGATCAGCCAAGCCGGCCAACCATCGATCCCAAGGAAACGAGTGTGATGCTTTTTCCTGGCCAGGGCACCCAGTACGTGGGCATGGGCAAGGAGCTGCTTCGATTCCCCGGCGCCCGGCGCATCTTCGAGCTGGCCAACGAGGTGCTGAAATACGATCTCCTCAAGATCTGCCTGGAGGGACCGCGGGAGAAACTGAATCGCACGGAGCACGCCCAGCTGGCTGTGATGGTGTCCTCGCTGGCGGCACTGGAGCAGTTGCGCGAGGAGCGACCCAAGGCCATCGAAACGTGTGTGGCCGCCGCCGGCTTCAGTCTGGGCGAGATTACGGCCTTGGTGTATGCAGATGCCCTGCCCTTTGACAAGGCTCTGCAACTAGTGCAAGTTCGGGCCACCGCCATGCAGGCGGCATGCGATCAGGCAGCCGGAGCCATGGCCATGACGATCTACGGACCAGACACAAATCTGGGCGAGGCCTGTGCCAGGGCGCAGCAGTGGTGCCTGGACAAGGGAGTGGAGTCGCCCTACTGTGGCGTCGCCAACTACATGTACCCGCACTGCAAGGTGGTGGCCGGTAACGTGGAGGCCCTCGAGTTCCTGGAACAGAATGCCAAAGCTCTCAAGATTCGGCGGATGAAGAGATTGGCTGTAAGCGGCGCCTTCCACACACCGCTGATGCAAAGCGCCGTGGAACCGTTTACCAAAGCCCTGAAATCAGTGCGCCTGCAGGATCCCGTCATCAGGGTTTACTCCAATGTGGATGGCAAGCCCTATCGCCACGCCAAGCACATCCTCACCCAGCTGCCCAAGCAAATCGTACGACCAGTCAAATGGGAACAGACCCTCCACGAGATGTACGAACGCAAGCAGGGCGTCGACTTTCCACGCACCTTCGAATGTGGCCCTGGCAAGGGTCTCGTCCAGGTCCTGGAGAAGGTGAACGCCAAGGCCGCTCAATCCAGCATAAATGTTATAGCTTAACTTTGTATATATAAATATTCAGTTTGCTTTTATAAAAATGTATATTTTCTCGTCTAAAGGAAACAAAAAAACTGGAGTTATTGGCCTGCGGCAGATCCTAACTCTTGTCGTCTCGCGAACGCATGCGATGTGCAAAGGCTGCGCCCTTGTTCTTGCGGAAGCTCTCGAAGGGATCATGCATATTGGCACCCACTCCCTGTGGATACAAGTGATTAGTTTATGATTTTCTGGTGTGTGCAGCATGCCACCTTACCTTGTACATTTCGCGACGATCGCGCACCTCACCACCTGAAATCGGCGTGTCTATGCCTTGGTTCTTTGAGCCCAGTCCAGTGCCAGTGCCCGCCCAGCCCATTTTCATGAGCATTTGGTGGCCCTTGTTTGATTCCTCGATGAATTCCTGGGGCTTGGCGAAGGTGCTTCCCCTGGGGATAGGAAAAAATGAATCATTAGTTGGACTCTTTGTAAATACTAGCCACTTGATGGGAGGATTTATCTATTGATCCTGAACAGATGGCTATTATATGCGCTTTTTGATTTTCTATCAAAGATTAATGGTTTCTCTTAACTTACAAAAAACTCGGAGGCGTTGGAGATCTATCGCGCTCCACGCGTCTTAGGTTGGTGCTGTTGCCATTGTTGCTGCTATTGGAATTGCTACGCTCTACACGGTTCTCACGATTGTTACTGCTGTTGCTGTCCCGATCGTTGCGAGGCGATCGGTTACGTCCCTTGCGACTGCTGCCACCGCTTCCTCCTAAGCCTGCGCCGCCCACCCTGCTGCGGTTCGTTGGTGGCGGCGTTGAAGAGCGCTCTAAGGACCGCGACCGTGATCTCGAACGTGAGGGCGATCTCTCCCGATGGGGCGGCGTAATTGAGCGGGAGCGACTGCGACTCTTGGATCTTAAATGGGAATTACAGGTGTCTTTTAATAATGGTCTCTTATAGAAAGCAAGAAATGAACTACTTATATCCATCAAATTCAAAAACTCACCGATAAACACGCTTGTTGCTCTTTTTTGGAAGGGGTTTCTCGAGCACAATAGGACTGGGCGAGCGCGACTTTTCCCGAATGCCGTCCTTGATTTCCTCCTCCTTTTGCTTTCGCGCCGCATTCTTCACCTTGTAGTACTCATAGAGACCAAGCTTCTCCCAACCCTCACTGCAAGGTAATTCAGTAATATAGTCACGTCTAAAAACATTCGATTTAGCCACTTACGTATCCCTGGGACGATCGTGGGATGGTGCGGAATAGAAGGCATTCAATGCATTCGTCAGTCGCTCGCTTTGTGGCGCTGGAGCTGGCAGTCGTATGTCCGCGGGATCGAGGGATTTGTAGTTATAATCCTCCAGGCGAATTAGCGGCACCATTAGCCCCGCAGGCAAGTCGTAGTAAGGCGCTGTAGGTATTTGCGGCTCTCCGATCACAACAGGTTCTCCAGATTCGCCCTCGACGGACTGCAGTGGCTGTTGACCATCCTCCAATGGACCGTCCTCGGGTTTGTTGGTTATAACCGCTCGAATGGCCGCGTTCAGCACATCCAGGTCCAGTTCCTGATCAACACTGGCTGGCTGCCCGGGTCTGACCAGACTCTGGGGATAGGCAGCCATTGGTGGTGGCTGTTGCTGCTGCTGCTGCTGCTGAAGTTGGTGCTGCTGTCCTTGCTGCTGTGGGTCATCGGGATGGTGTTGCTGCTGCATCTGCAAGCAGGCCTGAATTGCTGCACTGAGAACCCCCAGGTCAACAGGTGGTTCATTGCCGGTTCCCTGTCCCTGCATTGGAGGAAACTGTCCCGGCGGCGGTTGTTGTTGTTGTTGCTGCTGCTGCTGCTGATGGCCGCCCATTGGTGGTCCCTGGTTATGGAGATGCATGGGCCCGGCAAAGCCTGGCGGTGGTTTTGACATGTCCGGAATGAAGAAGTTCGGTCCCCGTGGATCCGCAAAGGGATTCCCCGACGGCTGTTGCTGTTGTTGCTGCTGCTGCTGCTGATGGAAGTTACCACCTGGATACATATTGTTACCCGCCTGAGGATGCTGCTGATCATGCGGCCCCTGGTTGTTCATGTGCTCGCGGTCACCCGGCATAGCTATCCGGTGGGACATCAGCGATGGTATGTTCTTCTGCTGAGGACCGCCAGGACCTTGGTGTTGCAGCATGTGCTGCTGCTGCTGGGACTTCTGGGCCACCATTATCTGCTGCTCCAGATGTTGTGCCTGCTTCTCGAGCTGGGCAATTTGCTGGCTTGCATGCTGGATAAATATCTGATGTTGTTTTTGGTAGCTATGAAACGAAGGTTTAACGTTAATCGAAGTCCAGAAACTTAAAACTTCAGGTTACCTACTTATCTAGTGTGACCTTTGTGTTCTGCGTGAACTTGGCGGTTATGTCATGATACATGTTCTGCAGATTAGTTTTGTACTCCTGCATAGACGAGTCCGGTGACTGCAGCTTCGAGATGACGCAGGCATCGAAGAACTTGGCCTTGGACTCCCACAGCGACAACAGCTTGGCCAACTTTTGGCGCTGGTCGTTGCTGGCAACTGTGGGTGAGTATATAATAACGTTAAATATCCGAGACCAAAGGTTCGAAAAGGGAAATACATACTCAAGTCGGCGCTGCAGAACATCGGAATGACGACGTTCTCGAGGCTGTTCTTCAAGTCATTGATGTTCTTGCGCATGCTGTAAATACATCGTTGCACTTAGCACTCACCAACTGGCTAATCTAACGTCTTCTGTCCCAAGTCCGAGGTCAGGTGGTTGAGTTTCGTCTAGTTCTGTCCGAGTAGTATGACCTAAACTAACCAACTAAGCTGGGTTACTGCTCGGTGGGTTAATTTTTTGGGGGTCTGTGGTTTTTTAATACTATACTATGCTAGTGATTGACTGGGCAAACTTACCAGTGGTGTAGTATATCATTAACTAAATATATAAGATGCAATTTTTGCTGAAACGTTGAACCATTGACCAAAGCCCTAAAAATAAATTAACAAACGAAAAACATATTTTTCTAGTTTTCTGAATGCACAACAACATTGCCAAAAGTACTTGTTGTGCAAGTATAATGATTTTTGTTAGTTGGTCTTCTTTCTTTTTGATTTTTTTTTTTGTTTTTTGTCCGATGGTTTTCTTTTTTTACTGCTTAGTGTTGGTGTGTTGTTGTGCGTGTTTATATGGTTAAACTTATTAGGTAAAATGATGTGTTTAGGTGTGTGGCCCTAGCTATAAGTCTTCCGGATCTGGGAACTCTACTCATGATCATAACATCTTTCGAAAACGAATCAACGAATCAATCTCGAGCCTCTCTGGGGGAGTCTCAAACGCTCAATCGCTCAATCGATCATCTCTCGCTTGTTTTTCGATATTTCGTTTTTGTATGTTTGGTTAGTATTTCACTCGTTGAAAGAAAGAAACACAATTTAATTAATACATGTTGAAGGTCATTAATTATAAAACTGAGGCATACTTCTTTAAAAGATATTGTAAAACGACATTGATTTTTGCGCTGTCGGTTGAATGCTGTAAAATCCAGTTCTTGCCTAAAATTGCAATATCAAACGGGTTACTCATATTGTCATTGTCACTGGCGAAATTAAATTAGGATTAAGGAGTAATCAAAAGGTAGTATGGATTCATTTAGTGTGTGTTTTTTGTTTGCAACAATGCTGCTTTAGCTAACATATGACTGATTACGAGACTACAAACAAGCAATAATGGAATCCAGCCGGGTCGCCGAACTCATATTTACCTGCAGAGATGCTGTCCTTGGTACAGGACTCGATGATCGGCTGCAGGACGCCATCGAAGTCCCTCAGCACAATGCCCTGCTCGCCGGCCATCTGCTCCTGCTGCGTCGTCTGCGCCGCCGCAATGGCCTCCTCGATCTGCTTCGTCTTCTGGTTCATCAGGGCCTACAGGTGGGTTTCGTTTGGTTGGTTGGTTGGCGGTGCGTTGGATGCGTTCGGATCGGATCAGTTTGGTCATTGGGCACACAAAGGTATTTTCACATTCATATTCGCATTTCGCGATTTCGTATTCAAGTCGACAAGCGTTTCAAACAAATTTGATTTTAGGATTTGTTTTTTTTTTTGGTTTTATACAGTTTTTGTCAGTTGGTATGAAGAGTGGTTTGATTTGGTAATTTTTTTTTGGTTTATGTTTCAAAAAATACAATAAAGCAAAAATTTAATGTAGCATTGTAAATTGTTAATTCAATAGTTAAAATAATAGCAAATAGAGTTTGTAGTTTGGTAATGCTGAAAGTACACATTTAACTTTATCTTATCCGCATTTAGAGATCAGGGACTGAGTAGATCGATTGAGAATTAATCAGGGGAAGGGCCAGAGCAAGATTAATTTTTTTTAGGGATTCGAATGGTAATTTGTGGTTTCCACAAGAAACATATCAAAGAGTATTATCGTTTCCTTTGAATTCAGGCTTAGAGTTAAGATGTTTAAAACTATTAGGTTCTTATAAGAATTTACGTTTTGGTTAATACTATGAATTAACTAAAATAGTCAACAGAAAAGTGCGAATCGTTTAAGGAAGACTTCTTTGAGGAACGAATTTAGGTAAACATTCACAAAGCAAAACAAAAAAACCATTTTTAGCTCCTTTTACTCTTCGCCAGGAGAATATGGTAAGAGAGTGACAAATACGTTGAAATCGTTTGTTAAAACATATGTAATGGCAAATATTACAATGTATCACAGTTCTTGGGCAAGTTTGAAGTAATATAACTTTAGTTCGTAATACTTGCAAAAAGAATTAGTACTGCAACTCATTCATTCGAATGGGTCGTTTAAAAGCATTTCTCAGATGAGGATTTAAATGGGAAAAACAAATTTGCAGACAGTCAAGATCAAGTAAAAGGGTAACAATACGTGGTAATCTTTCCTTCGATCGCTTGAGCTGCTCTAATCTCCCAAAAATATGCTTGCATAGAACATAGAGATACCCCAGTCGTTGTCAACTTTAAATTACCGTGTGCTGTGCGGAGAGATTCGATTCGGATTGCTTGATCTGTTCCCGCAGCGTCTTCTGCTGCATCTTGATGGTGTCCAGTTGGGAGGTAAGATTCATGGCCATGGCATTGCCATTGGCCTGCTGAATATTTGGCGGACCTCCGTTGCCGGAGTTTGGGGGCCACTGGTGCTGCGATTGCTGTTGCATGTTATCTTGTGCGTTTTCTGGCGGGTGCTGTGGCTGCTGATTGGGTGGCGCATAGTGGCCAGGTGGCTGAGATTGCTGCATTGGCGGCGGCTGTTGCATGTAGTGGCCGGATTGACCACCCGGTGGCAGTTGTTGGTTAATGCCCTGCTGCTTCAGCACTGTAGTGGGAGTAAACATAGGGGTTACTAGGAGCCATTTTTGTTTGTTTAAGACCCCACTTACGCGCCTGTTCCGCTGCCACCCTAAATTGGTAGTAGCTGGCAAACTCCCCGCCGTACAGGAACTCGAACTTTGGATTATTCTGCTGCTTCTGCTTGGTTATGGCCTCGAATTCAGGTCCATTTCTGGCCACAAACTCGGCCAGTTTGTCTATAATATTGCGTAAACTGGCGTCTGCAAGAAAAACATTTTTTTGCATAAATTTTCAGCATATCAAAGGTTGTGCTGTGCGTGTGTGTGTGTGCGGGTTAGTCTAACTGGGCACGGAACGTGTTCCTTCAGAGCCGCATTAAAGCTCCTTTGAATTCAAGTACTAACCACGAGGCGGCTGTACGTCCATTTTGAGGCTGCTTTAAACACTTTAATCCTGGTTAAATTCCTAAATGCATCACTTTTTACAATTTTCCAGCGGCACTTTTCACTGCTTCTTCTTATTTTTCCTTTAAGTGTGACCGACTCTTAACACTGCCTATATACGAAGTTCGTTTAGGGTGACACTGGAAACTGGAATAGAATTGTGTTTGGTTTTTAAGTTTTTCTTTGTTTTCAAGGGGTCTTCCATATTAAAACTACAGTTTAAAATATATAAATAGCAATTCCAACCGATAATCAGTAAAAGACAGTATATTTTAGTTAAAAATGCAAAATGCCGGTAACCGCAGAGTTGCCACCCTGCCAACAGCTTTTACCGGGATATTTAGCGCTCCGATTAATATCGTAAACTAATAACGCAACACGCACATCTCTAGTTCTGGGAAAAATAATTTGTGGTAAACAAATCTAGTTTATATTTGAAGACACCGCGATTCGCACTGAAAAGAAATCATCACGCCTGTCTATAGTTAATGCAGCATCCGACGAGGCATGACAAATCTATACTTTAAGCCGACAACTCCGCGGATAGCGTGGCATTGAATTACACGGTCCTCGTCCTCGCCACATTATCATCAGATAGGGTTTGAGCACCATATAGTGTGTATATAGACACGCTCACACTCACAAACGGATGGGGAGCAGAATGGCTGATAATGCTGGGAGCGTTATCACCATCAACAATGGCCAGTCGGCGGGAAGTTCGCCGCCCTCGCAGCGGAAGTCCTCCTCGTCGGAAGCTCCGCCGGAACTACGCATCCTGTGCTTCGACCTCACGTTCTACAATCGTACCACCCAGTTTCTGCTTAGCTGTGCCGGTGTCTTCATCCTCTATATCCTGTACGGCTATCTGCAAGAGCTCATATTCACCGTAGAAGGATTCAAGCCGTATGGATGGTTCCTAACCCTCGTCCAGTTCGGGTACTACATTGGCTTTGGCCTGGTGGAACGGCGGCTTGAGGGTTATCGGATAAGCGGTGGTTCCTTCTGGAACATTGAGCCGGAGCCACGTTGCATTCCTATGAAAACCTACCTAGTTTTGGCCGCCCTCACCTTGGGCACCATGGGTCTGTCCAACTCTAGTCTTGGCTACCTGAACTATCCCACCCAGGTGATCTTTAAGTGCTGCAAACTCATTCCCGTCCTGGTGGGAAGCATCCTCATCCAGGGCAAACGCTACGGACTGCTAGATTTTGCGGCAGCCGCCTGCATGTGCATCGGATTGGCCTGGTTTACGCTGGCCGACTCGCAGATGACTCCCAACTTCAATCTGCTGGGCGTGGCCATGATTTCCGGAGCACTGCTCTGCGATGCAGCCATTGGTAATGTCCAGGAGAAGGCCATGAGGGAGCACAAGGCGCCCAGCAGCGAGGTGGTCTTCTACTCCTACGGCTTGGGTTTCGTCTACCTATTTGTGATTATGCTGGTTACCGGCAATTTCTTCAGCGGCTTCGCTTTCTGTTTGGAGGTGGGCGAAGGAGTACTTCTTTGATGTATCACATCTAACCTGTATCCCTTTTTAGCATCCCTTGGAGACGTTTGGTTATGGCTTCCTGTTTAGTTTGTCGGGCTACTTAGGCATCCAATTTGTGCTGGCTCTGGTGAGGAGTAGTGGTGCTCCCATAGCTGCCACAGTGACCACCGCACGCAAGGCGGTGACCATAGCCTTTTCCTTTGTACTCTTCAGCAAGCCGTTTACCGTGCAGTCAGTATATCATAAACAATACCTTTTAAATCTTTTGTCCAACTCAATTATCTCATTGACAGATATCTGTGGTCCGGACTTATTGTTGTCCTCGGCATATATCTCAATGTCTACAGCAAGAAGAACAAACTAACGCTAGCCGACATCCGGCAGAGATTAAAGCAGCTCGGCGCCAAGGTAGCACGCTCACCGAGTCGCAAATTCCTCATCGAAGTTTAGTTTAATACCAAAAACAAGATAAACGATTTAGTCGAATTGGGAGAACGGTTTTCTACAAGAAAATCGTATACTATAATTACTTAATTATACGCTAAACAACCTCTGTATGTTATCTATCCATGTCGAGCTCCATTACTCGCTTGAAGAGATCCTGTCGCTCCTTGGCGGATGTTATCTGACCCATGGCGCGGTCCAGGAACTGTTTCTGGTGCTTGACTATAAACTTGTTGCATTGGATGATGGTGGCGCCGATATAGAGGGTCCTAAACTTGGCTCGTACATCTCCGATCTGGAAGGTATACATTTAATGCTGGTTCAAAGGTATCTAACTAAGACCTACCAGAGTAATTAATGGCAAAATGCTGGACACAAAGCGTTGACCACGATGCAGGCACCGTATGATTGCTATTTTGGTGCGATCATTGATGTACTTTACTCGAAATCCCTGTTCGATCATTCCTAGGCCGTAGACCCCATGGTATTTCTCTACATTTTGCAACAGAATTTTCGCCAGGCTGTTGTCGTTGAGCCGCAGTGATTGTGTGGGTGTGAAGGGCACAATCTGCACCGCTATATATCTGTTTTTGACAGGTTAATTTCCGAAAATGTAAAATCTTTTGGTAAATATTTACCTATTTTTTATGCGAACCATCGCTGTCCCAACCGATCTGGCAACTCCGTCGAAGTGCTGCCCAGAACAGACCACCTGCCGATAACTAGTATCGATAATTAGAGCGCCCCCTCTTCCATCTCTAATTTGGTTTGTTTTGATCAACAGCCGGATCATCCATGTGATGATATAAAATTAAAAAAATGGACCCCACGACGAATGATTACAAGGAGTTTGTCACCGATCTGGTCATTCCGCACCAGCGGATGAATGTGAACATTAATCCGGATCACATCACCATGCTGGAGGGAACGAAGATCAAGAAACAGCATTCCCGCAAGCGCCGCGCTCACAAATCTGGGGTTCTCAGTCGCAAGGAGTACGCGGAGCTTGGACTAAATACCCTTCCGACCAAGCAGATGAAGTACGAGGAAGCCCTGCCCCTTCACAACCTCTGGAAAGGATACGTTCGCGAGCACCTAGAACTTAGAGAAGGGGCCGAGGTACCGGAAGTGCACGATTCTCGTTACGAAGAGTTCAGCCGGCAGCTGGTAAAACTAGATTTACACGGCGCCAAGCTAAAGGTCGTCCAATCCAAGTGCCGCACTCTGGAGGATTTAGCTGGCATATGTGTCATGGACACCAAGAACGTGCTGAAGCTCCTCGGCAAGGACCACCGGCTGCGGACAATCCCCAAGAGCGAGTGCGTCTTTGGAATGAAAGTGGGAAACATGCAGTTCACCATATTCGGAAAACACTTAAATATTCGACCAGCCGAGAGAAGCGTTAAAAAAATCAAGAACTTTGTGGAGCCCTTCATGTAGGAACTTCAAGACCAAAACTCATCATTAGCCTAAGAAACCGAATTCTATTGTTACTTTAATAATAAACAAACTAATTCGTATTTTTGAGAAGAAACTCAGTTTTAGCTTTTTTATGGGCATTAATACATATTAAACATTTATGACACTTCAGCAAAATCAGTTTATTTGAATGTGCTTTTAGGTGTATTTTAAGAATATCCTTTAAAGATTCTTTACAAAAAAATTTAGTTTAAACCGTCAGAGGGTTTAGTTTTCTTGTTTAATATATTATATAAAACCGTACATTTAATATTTTTTTTGGAAAATATCGCGCCGCGTTTTCCTTTTTTTTTAGTTTCTAGACATTTTGTTTCGTTGCGGGAGAGATTCCCAGATTTACCAATTTACCAGTTGAAAAGGAAAGATTTATGCAGCCGTCTTGGTCATGGTGATGACGGCGGATGGAACCAAGCCGAGCACTTCCAGCGGCTTCTCGTAATCGTCCTCGGCGAACAGTTTGCGCGGAAAAGTGGTCATCAGGGAAAAGGGCGACTCGATGCCGGTCTTCATCTGGATGAACACACGCACAGCGGACAACTGCTCCTTTACGTTGAAGGTCTCCTGAAGCGTGGAGCCGTCCTGTAGGCGCACTTGGATGCGGGTTTCGGTATAGTCGCGCGGCGGAGACTTAACACCTGCAGGTGGTGACGAGACTGTGGTAGAACTCACTGACGGAGCTGGCTCTGGATTGCCCAATTCCTTTTGTTCCCTGTGGGTAGATTGATATTTATAAGACGAAAGAAAGACAACATCAGCAAGTCGATGTTTAGATACCATTGCAGTTATGTGGAATACAGGCTTTTTTTATAAAAACCAATACACTAGACCTAAATAATCCTTACCTAGCCTTGCGTGCCGCCTTGTCCGCCTCGATTTGAGCCCTCACGCGATCGCGGGCCGCCTTCTCTTCGTCCTTTTCGCGCTTGCGCTGCTCCACGATCTTCTTCATCTCGAGCTCCTCCATGCGACGCTTAGCCTCGGTCATGTCCTTGCCGGATTTAATGCGATTCTTCTCCCGCTGTAGAGCTTCGGTTTTCTCGCGCTCCTCCCGTTCGATGCGTTTCTGCTTGAGCTTCTCTTCGATGAGGGCAAGCTGCGCCTTCTTCTCATCCTCGGTGAGGGCCTTCTTTTCCTCCGTCGACTCGGAAAAGTTGCTGTGCCCGGTTTTGGCTGCATGGTACTCCACTTCAGTGTGGTCCTTTAGGACCTTGCCGCAATCGTCGCATTTCAGAGACTTGGCCACCGAGGAATCTGCAGAGGTTTCACCGGCACCACTTGTGCTACTGGAGGCTGCTCCGGCGGAGGAATCCACTGCGGAAGTGGGGGGAATCGCCGAACTCGGGGACTCCCCGGCATTTTGACGGGTCGGCAGCGGGTCATCCACATGGGCCAGAAGCCATTCCATTGCTGGTTCTACCTTATTGCTGGTCACCTGCAAGGCATATTCCCTGTGGAAAAAATTAAAACCAGGAAATAACAATGTCAATTTTCGCAGAGTAACTTCTTTTGCCGGTGGCAAATCTGATATGTCCCCGCCACTTACACACGATCCCGGGGGAAACCCATATCCATCAGGGTCTGTACTTCACTCATGGCGGTAGTTTAATGTTTTACAGGAGTTTGTATTCGTACAGATTCGTTTCGCGTATTTATGAAAAGAAAAATGTACAATGACACACAAAAACAAAGCTAGGCGATAGCAAGCTATCGATAGATCAACCAACAGAATAGATCGGGCCTTAAAAATAGCTAGCTATGGAAGCCTCTACACATTTTTTAATAAAAGCAATATCTGTTAAATGTGTTTTTAAAATCTAAAATGATCTTCTTGTTAGTCAATATTATTGTAATATTATATTTATTTATTAATTGTAGTTATGATTTCTAAAGATAATTTTGCGATTTAGCTGGAAAAAAAGCTAGAGCAGCTGGCATTTTTGAACAGTGCCCGCTATCGATAATTCGGCATCGCCGGCAACGTTTACCAGCACTGCAAATTTGGCGTCTACGAATTGCTGCATTTTCTTTTTGCCACTTTGAAATAGAGTTTTTCCGATTTCCCAGCCAAACTATGTCGCCTAAGACAAAGAAAATGGTCGTCAAGATCCCACGGCACCCGTACTTCAATGTGCAGGGCGAGCGTAGCGTGGAACGTGAGGTAGAGTACCAGGTGCGAAAGTGTCGCGTGAATCTGGAGCGCATTAAATCGTCGAGCACCCCGAATTCTCGACCTTTCCCTTTGAAACCGAAGCCCAAAAGGTGCATTGTCCGCGTGGCCCGGCTTCCGGACGTAGAGCGCAGCGAGATTTCCGTGACCCCGGCCAGTTCCATAATGAACTCTGATATCGACGAGGGTAAGCGAAAAGGTCTTGCGAAATTGTCTAGGGGACCGATTGTGGCCCTCCGAAACAATCCTTATAACACTTGATTTCCTTGCAGGTAACTCCAGCGAATAGAAGCAAACTATGAACGGTCCTAATCATCGCCCATCCTATTCTAAGATATATTGGTTTCTCCTATCTGGTTAACTATAAGATCAATAAACGCATCCAGTAATCATACTCCTATTAACCGGAAGAAGTCATTAATTTTACTTAACGTAATAATACAAAATCATGACGATTATTTTACCATAAAATATGTGTACGAATTGCACCCTCGCTTGTGCTAATGATACTCGATTCATTAAATAAAATTCGTCAACGCAATTTTTATTTTGTTTTATTATTTAGTTTTACTGTAAAACCTACTTTACTATACCAAACAGGTCTTTACTGTCATTTTTATTTGATTACTTTATTGTTCATCAAGTAACAAACATTAATTAATATTAAACATTGAACCAAACAAAATCTATTGATACATAACGTTTCTTATCTTATCTTACTTCCTTTTCTTTTCATCATACTTTCGTTCCACCATTGTCAAATATTTTTATGTTTCTCCTGGTATTGTCAAATGTTTTTGACTAAGCCGGACTTGGCGTGTTTTTAATGTTTTGGTTTTGTAATTATGAAAAAAATGGGTTTTCATTTACTTTTTTTTAAAAAAAGCGGATTTTGAAAATTGTTATTGAATTCTCAATACAATTTTAAAATTTGGATTTAAAAATAGCGGCATAAGGGCTATAATCGAATAATGATATCGAACTGTAGCTATTACATTTTTACATTTAAAAAATCGATTCCATGAGTACTTATCGATACTTGAACATATCGATACCCGGGAGTCAGCTGTCAGCAGGAAAAACTTTCTGGAAAACAAAAACAGGCCAAATTACCCGTACCCGAACATAGTCGAAAATCCGATCTGAAACATGAACTGGCACACGGGCAACATCGCGGAGGCCGTGGCAGAATCAAAGGCCAAGGACGCCGTCTTCGTGGTCTTCATAGAGGGTAATTAGTAGCGAATTTGCATTGCCAATTTTCACCACGTCATTGTTGCGGAATTTCGCCCTTTCAGGCCAGGATGAGATGTCCAGAAAGCTGGAGCGGTTCGTGGACGACAGCCGGGTAAGATCTCGCCTGGAGACCTCGGATTTCGTGGCCATCAAAGTGCAGGGAAATAGCTCTGCCTACGGACAGTTCATGTCGCTATGTGAGTAACTCTTCGAATGTTAATTAATCCCAGATCTGCAATGGTGTAACTTGGTTTTCCAGACAAAGTCGTGCCCGTTCCCTCGCTCTTTTTCATTGGCAAATCGGGCACTCCCCTGGAAATAGCCACTGGAATCACGGCCAGCGTGGAGGAACTCTCGGAGAAGATCGACAAGGTGCTGATCCTGGCGGGGAAGCGAACGGAGACCGAGGTAGCCGCCAGCACCTCCTCACTTGTGGGAGCACTGGAGCCCAATCCGGTCAGGAGCTTTGCGGGAGCAGATGACTCGAGCAGTTTGAGCAACGCGGAAAGCCAATCAGTTCAAGGTTGTCAATTGAAATTGAAATATTAAATTTGAATGGCATAAATTTATATTTGCATAAAATGACTGAATACCTATTATTTCAGCTCCAGAAAAGTTCGAAGCACCCGAGACAACTTCAGTTTCAGACTCGCCAACTGAAGAGGTGGAGGAACCCAAGTCGAATCCTCCCAATTCTCCTGCAGCATCCAGTTATTCCTCGATTCCTGCTGAACTATCATCCTCCAGCTTGGAAGGGAAATCGGGTTCAGAGGCAGAGAACGCCGCTGTTTCTCCCGCCGCTTTGGCGGCAGAAAAGAGAGCAGCAGCCACAAAAGTAGAGGCTTCAGCATCCACATCTGGAGCAGCTGCCAGAAACTTCGCCACAGCTAATCTTATACCAGCAGTGCCATTGCTCACACCTGCTGTTCCAGCTTCGATGCAGCTACCGGCAGAAAGCCAAGGGATCACAACAGCTATTCCAGCTTCGGTACAGCTACCGGCAGAAGGCCAAGGAATCACCGAATCTGAGGAAAGGATGGCAGAAGTTCGGAACCTATTGGAGCAGAAGCGAAGGGAGCGTGTGGAGGAGGAGAAGCGTCGCGACAAGGAGAACGAGTTGCGACGGCGCAGGGAGGGACGGGACTCACAGACCCAGCAGGCCAGGACCAAGGAACAGGAGCTCAGGAACATGCAGGTGCGAAAATCTTCAGCACATATATTAAGAAAACTTTCTGAATCTTAGGTTTTTTACCTATATAGGAAAAGATCCGTCGCGAGCGTCAGGAGGAGCAGATGACCAGAGAGCGCATCCGTGCCCAGATCGCCGCGGATCGGGCGGAGCAAGCGCAACGTTTCAATTCTTCGGATATGAACAGCTCGACCAACTCGGCTGCAGCCACTGCTGCCTCTAACGCCATCACTACAGAGTCCTCGGTGAGTTCCGTGGATGAGACGAGACTACAGATCCGTCTACCTGGTGGCATACAACGCACCAAATCCTTTCCCCCCGGCGAGGTGCTGGCCACGGTTCGTGTCTATGTGCGAAATGAGCTGTTGGCAGCTAGCGATGTGCGTGATTTTACCCTTGCCACCAGTTATCCCAGAAGGGAGTTCCAAACTGAGGACGAGGTCAAGACGCTGAGCGAGCTGAATCTAGTGCCTAATGCGGTGGTGCTGGTGCTGACCAAGGACCAAGTGAATCGTGTGGTGCGCAGCGGTGGCTCTCTGATGACCATGCTGGCCACAGTCATTTGGGCCATGATCACGCCGGCGGCCAAGGCTTTCGACTACATCCACAAAATGGGACTGCGCCCGCTCACCCAGAAGTTGACCGTGCTGATGGCCAACATCCGGTGGCCAGGACAACAGGCCAACGCGGAAATTCACCAGGGCGATGCGTGAGTACTTCTTCGTTATTTACGGCTAGCGCTCTTTTGAAACTAAACTCGGGATTTTTCAGTGCCGCCCGTCGCAACATGGACCTGTTCTCCCTGCGACCCACACCAGCACCAGGCTACGAATACGATGAGCCATCGACGTCACAGACGGCAAGACCCACGACGACTCCTGGAGGCGGAGCGGCGGACAGACCTACTCCACAAACGCAACCGGGACCAGGAAGTACTCCGCCGGCTCATAACGCCAGCCAGAGCCAGGCTTCCGGCTCCCAGTCGCAGCAATTCCAACAACGCCCGGGTGGATATCAGCCGCCTAAGTATGGAGATGCAAACATTCGACGACTACAGGATACAAAGAAGGACGACAAAGAAAAAGACAAGGCCACATACAATGGGAACTCCACGCAGCAGCAATAGGACACCACTTTCCTTTTCCAGCAGTCTCTAGATATATACCTATACAATAACCTGTTATGCTAAATTTAATTATATCAACATAATATTCCACAAAATATATTCGATGTGTTTTAATCAAACAAATGTGAGCTTAGTAACTAGTTAGATAGGACAGCCGAAAGTCACTCGTTTAGTGAAGCAGATTCAATTCAAATTGTTCACACTTGTCAAAAAAAATAATTTCTGCTTATCAAAATTAAATGTACAATATTTACTGCAAAAAAATGATTAAAAGATTTACATTTTGATAACTCATTTAATTAAATTCACAGTACATTCATATGTATTTTCAAGTACATATCTTGTCTTTTTTATCGAAGTGCGATCCTATAACCTTTAAATAGAAAAGTTTCCAACTTTGTTAAAACAATGAAAGGAAAAAACAGTTGATGCAAACAAAGGTGAACTTATAAAGTAATAAGTGTGATATCGGGTGATACAGCTTAGTTACAAATGGTTTTTGTATCCAATTTTGTACAATTCAAATAATACCATCGAATTAGGAGTAGGTAAATTGGTGGACATTTTTAGGCAATAATAATATAAAATATGACCCCTTTTTTTAAATTTACTAGATTTGTAGCTAATTAAAAACGTATGTTGTTCTGCTTATGATTGTTAAGCTCCGAATCTCCAGTACATTAAGTCAGTGGAAGAATCAAACAATGTGGAGACCTCTTAAGGCGCGCCTCAATATAATTGGGTTGTGAAAATTTGTCACCTGTTTACAGGGTGAACCACATGAGGAACTGCAGCAATTTGTAGACATTTACGAGGGGTAACTTCCAATTGCTTTTCCTTTGCAGCGGTGGCACCAAGCTGGGATAATGAACCAGGCTACCGATATGGCAATTGGTGATGATGGTGCCACCGGGAACGCCAACGGGCACTGCATCGCCCTGTTTAACACCATCGCAATCGATGAGCTCCAGGGATTTGCTGAAGCAAATGCGAATCTCCGAGAGATAACTGATGCCGTGTTTGCCATCGTACAGGCAATGGATCGAGGGGTTCTTACCCAGCGCCTTGACTATGGCATTATTGATGGCTGCCACCGTGTTATTCGAATCGGGATGGATGTCGGAGGCGTCCAGGATCCTCGACATGATATACTCCTCCCGCCAGGTGAGTCCTTGCTCGAAGTACTTGAGTTCATTATCCAGTTCTTCGATAAGCATGGCGCAGGTTCCGTGCTTCTGCCACTCGTGTTTCCACAGCCATTCTGTTGAATCAACGCCCTTGAGGTCCGGCCAGAAGGTCTCCAGGCGATCCTCAATGGGATTGAGTTTGTCCGGGCTAAAGCTGGCGGAATTGTTGCAGAAATTGGGACCTATTTGGTGGAGCTTCGTGGGCCAGATGCCGTGGATGGTCCAGAACTCTTTCTTCTGGGGCAGAGTGCACTCCTGGTCGGGATTATCCTCGCGCCAATGATAGCAGGTTGTCACCGGCCATTGTTGCGTGAATATCAGAACATCCCAGTTGTGATCCTGCATAGCCATCTCCTTCGAAGAATCCTGCAGGGATTCGTCGTCGTCCTTGAAGAGGAACCCCTCGAGTTCACTGTCATCGTCTCGATTTTTCTGTGACTTCTCATCCAGTGAAGTTGATTCATCCGAATCCGATATGTCGCTACAACGAGAAACATGAAACCATGAGTAATTGTTCGGATTTTGAAAGGGCTTTTGTTTGTTGTTAGAAGTGGATTACTGGGTCAGCCTTGAACTTGAATATGTCTCCCGGATTAGGGTACCAATATGTAAAATTTTGGTTGGTTGGCAGGAGTCCAGAAAGATTCCAATAAAACCTTTAAATGTCTTTAGTTTCCTTTTCTTATACTCACCTTATGGGCGTGGAGTTTATGGTCACCAGAAAGCAGGCCAAAATGGCCACAAATAGAAACCGCTGGCTACGCATTTTGTTGTAAAATAACAATAATAATAACTGCGA